AACGTTTTGTTCCGTTGTGCGACTTAAATTTTGAACTTTTTCTGGCTTGAAGTGCAGGAATTATGGAAAGGAAGCAATGTGATGACATTCCATATTGACATGCAGTGCTCCCTGGTGTTTTCCCTGTGTGAATCGGAATATTACCTGCACAAATTTACACTGGCTGTTGTTTAGGATGTGCTGGGCTCCTCAGATTTTGATAGTATAAGAAGAAAAGTTCAAGAAATGTTTGCAGTGTTAACACTAGAAAGGTATTTGTCTTTGTCAGGAAATTATTGAATATTTGTGTCTGTGTAAATTAGTTTCTTGGTTCTTGTGTCCCCTCAAAAAGAATGAGCCAGTCAGTGCTTCTCTCCCCAGTTCTGAAGTACCTGTTTTCTTGTCTCCCTAGTGTCACTGCGTAAGTAGGCTTTCCTGCACACATGCAGGTGTACAATTATTAATAAAAACAAATATTGAGGCAGGAACTTCAACATGCATCAAGGACTTCGTAAACTGGACCAGACTTACAAAAACATTAAAAAGGCAAAAATGCTTATTGTCAAGACTATGCTTTATACCACCATTTTCAGGCATCAATTCTTTTTTTTAACAAAAGCCTATGGGCGCCTGAAACAAGTTACGTAGCCATATTATTGAAGTGGATACCCTGGCTTCTTTCAACAAATGACTGGAATAGATCATTGGATCAATTAGCTATTAGCAACCCAGCAAACCAGATGGGCCAAATGAACAAAACAGTCTTTTGTTCTTATTGTAAAACAGGTTGCTAATTCAGCTCATGAGTTTATTACACATGTAACATGTTCCTTGCCTTCATATAATCACAGTGATTTATTAAGAGAGAATGCGAAATGATGACAGTTTGCTTTGATAAAAAGAATCAAGCATTAACTCAAGTAAGTGTAAGTGGAGACCTGCGTTAGGTAGCAGTTTATTCCAGACTTTCCCAGTATGAGATATCTTCCGTGGAAGCTAGAAGGTTTTTTTTTTTATCCCTGCAGGGGGCAAAGAGTGACCCTTCCGTTTTCAACCACCCAGCGATTAAGCGGTTCCTTGAGTCGCCCTCCCGTTCCTCCTCTCCGTTGAACCAGGGCTCAGAGACCCCCTCCCTGGTGCCGTCGGAGACCGAGTCCCTCACTCAGCTGAGCGAGGGGCTTGACAGAGAAGGCGAGAGCTCCTGGAAAGAGCCCAGCAAGCAGGAGCGCAGGCCGGGCAGAAACACGGGGAAGGTGAGCGAACTCACAAGACCGCAGCGAAAGACAGTGCAGGAAGGGGGTCAAACACCTGTCCCACAGGGCCTTAGGGTCTCTGGTTTTAATTCTCTGTGCGGTTTGAGTCAACTATACTTATTTGCAGAGCATTGATCATTTTGCCGTAATTTAAATGATGTTATAATATTGATAGTGTTCCAGATGTTACATAGGTACTGCATTCAAACTGCCCAGTTTTAAAATGAATTAGAAATGCAGCCTGGCCCTGCAAAATGACCTGAATGTAATTGATCCGTTTTTACAAATGTTTCATTGAAGCACTTGAGATATCTGATGGAAGGCGGTCCATAAAGTGCAGTGCTACAAACTCACAGCAAAGTAGAATACAGGCCATCAGAGGTACAGTCACATAATTAAAAATACAGGCAAGAGTCTTGGCAGTCACCTCATTTAGGGTAAAACAGAAGAGCACTGACTGACCTTTATTGTTTCAGAATCTATTACACTGACACCTCGACCATAAAAGCCAGTCAGTGATTCTACATTGCTTGTGTTACTACAGAGAAATAAAATTATATATTGTTAATGGTGGGATGATTTTAACAGAAAAATATGTTCAGAGCATGATTGCATTTAAATGATCCTATTCGTTTATTGGGCTGCGGAAAGTGCCATATAATGCAGAATGCCGTGGCTGCAGAGTTTTGCCTCTTTATCTCTGAAGGATACCTTTGGAGTCTCTGCCCCTCAGGAGCAAGACCAGCGCTTCACCTTCCTCACCACTGGGGAAGACTCCTCTCGCCTGTATGTGAAGAAAACCATTGTTGTTGGAAACGTCTCCAAGTATGTACCTTGCAGTTCTTGCTGGAATCCCATACTCCTGGCAAATGTGTTAAGACAAGACAAATCTGGGAACAGGCCTGTACATACTTTTCTGTCCGAAGCTTTCAATGTCGATAACTGCTGGTAACACAGTTGACATCAGAAAGCCTGCGGTGAGATGAGAACATCGTTTGTTTTTTTATGGATTCCTAAGATAATAAAACTAAAATACAGAAATAAGATAAAGGGTGACTCCTAAAGGACTGATCACCAGTAGAAACGTGATTAATATAATAATTGCTTTGCTTTAATTACCTTTCTATCCCCTGTTTTGTATGTTTTTACTTAAAACCTAACCAGAGCTCATGATACTGTGTCACAATTGTACAAAATAACATGTGATCATTTTCTGAATATACTACATACATTTTGCAAGAATGCATTGCTTCATGCTACTATTATTAGTTTTTAGTTTTGTTTTCAGTTTGTATTGGATATTTAATGAGATTTTGTGTGAATCTTTTAGATAAAAAAAGTAGTGAGCCATTTTGTATTCTTTACATTAGAAATAGAAACATCAAATTGGAGCATGACTACATAAATTACACCAGATATAGTGCCAACTATATAGACAGTATAAAAGACATTTACAGTTCAAATAAATTTAAATTTTCAACAGCATTCAGAAAGTCTTTTTCTTTTTTGAAGATCAAAGTAGAAGAATCTCAAACAGAATATTTTCTTTTCATGTGCATCATTAAAAGCCTTGGTAATCAATATGAAAGCTAATGTTGTGCAGCATCCTTTGGAGTTTGTCAAAGACACCATATACTACTCCAATATATAAAAGTAGAAATTTTCTTACGGAAAAAAAACTTTTCTTTTTTGTTTTGATTAATAATTTCTTGCCACAGCAGTCTTAAAGGACTCTGGAATAAGACAAGATCCCACATGTCTCCAAACATGTAGTAGAAAACTTGTTCTAGTAACATGTTTTTGTGACTTTCGCAATAACATTCTCAAAAAGTTTCATAATTTAAGAGAGAATTTTGTATGAGACTTTTATATCATGATGTAAGTGTGTGCTTGTTGGTGGTGGAGATAGGGAGGTTAGAAGCAGCAGTCTGTAAAAGTGCACCCCAGTTACTATGAAGCTTTCTCCATTTCACTTATGGTTAAGAATAGCAGCATTATGATGTTGAGTTCTTTTAAAAAAGGAAGAAAGAAACTGAAGGATTTCAGAAGCTCTTATACAATCATGTGGAAACCATATGGTGATAGGAATGTGCACAGCCAGGCACTGCTTGGTAGAAGAATCACGTTTACCCTGATATAATGCCAGATGTGGGTTATATATACCTCCAGGGTATGCCAGACGCTTTCACTTGAGTCCTGTCCCAATGCTGCCTGTTTTCGTTTCGAACTGCACAGTCAGACATGCATTGTCTTGTTACAGTTCAGCTGTTATAATTTGTTACTGTGTTATTTTAAATCATGGGCCTGATATAAATACATGGAAGAGTGCAGACAGGGAAATAAATAAGAACAAAAATAAAGTTGTTACATAATATTAAACCGGCTTTACCTGGAAAAAAAGGTGCTTTAATGTTGTCATCTACATTGTGGTAGAATCTATTTATAAGGTAAATATTACTTGAGTGCTTCACGTAGTGAAATACTGCATTCTATACCATATCAGTTATTCAAATAACAGCCTGTAACGATGATTGAGTAGCATTTTAAGCAGAATATAGAGCGTCATATTAAACTGTTCACTTACATCAGGTTCCGGTACAATTTCTTAGAAGTACCCATGCATGTCTTGCGTTGTTTCTTTTGGACAGGATGCAGACTAGCTAGAATTCTTGGAACTTGTCTTTGTGTGAATGGCTGTTGACAGATAGTGCATAATGAGAATCATTGTCTCACATAATGATGATCTCACAAGATGATTAATAAGTGTCTGATGTTATAAAAGATACGTCTTACACAATGTTTTGATTCATGAGTAGGGGACTGGATTCCTTTTTAAAAAGGCAAAATTCTTGTTTTGGTTGTTACTTTTTCCTTCATGTCATTTAGGCCTATGTCAATTAGAAGAACAGATCCTTGCACATTGAACATTCGTGACTCTTTGAAGATGCATGTTCTATTCTAAAGTTGATCACATTTCACATGAAACAAACTGCGTATGTTTTTGATGTTTTTTTGTACTGAAATGCTTGGTCGTATCTAAAACACTGCAACAAGTAAAACATTTCATCGACTGATGCTGATCAAGTAGCAGATGCGAGCAGTACAAGTCATGAACACCCAAATTTTAAGTTTTTTTCTCTTCTCTCTCAGGTACATACCACCAGATAAGAGGGAAGAAAATGACCAGTCAACACACAAGTGGATGGTTTATGTCAGGGGCTCCAGAAAAGAGCCCACCATCGATCACTTTGTCAAAAAAGTTTGGTTCTTCCTACATCCCAGTTACAAGCCCAATGATTTGGTGGAAGTCAGGTATGTTCAGAAGAAGCCTCCAGGTCATTGGGATTGATTCCATCATTGGCCCTTTTTTAGGAAAAGGGGTGCTCAGTGAGGACGTTTGTGCTGTTTGCTTTCAGTTGTTTATTGATTGGCATGTTTTTAAAGTGAATTGTTGAGGCTACATTTCCTTTCCAGCTGAAGATGTTTCAGTTGACAGAGAAGCTGTATTCTATAGAAATCTAAAACAATTCAGCCACAGTATAAGGATGTGTTTACATAGAAAAAAACAGTTCATTTTCATTGTATGACTTGCGGTTTCTTTTTTGAAGTTATTTGGACAATCCTGAGGGCAGAGATGCTTTTGTCACCAGGCCTATAGTTGATTGCAGTTTCAGTTTGTACTTATGAAAGATTCAGCAGCCACTCATTTAGTTTTTCTTGCTGACTACAATTGCTCATTCATTCATGCTTAAACGTACTAGTACTTAGAAGGACTAGAAAGACTAGATACAGATAAAGAAAGACTAGATACAGGATAATGACAATAGTGCTTCTTGTCTGGGGAGACCCATTTGTTCTTGAAGACTGGAATTTGACCCCAAAAATGTCACAATAGTGCCAGCGGTCATCTTGAATAGTTCCTGCCGGTCACTAGGTTGTCTTTCTTAACATGATTCTGGACATTCCTCGCATACTCAGTTTGGTTTATTCTAGGCCATATTTGATTTAGTACTTTTTAGTGTCACAAGAATTCAAACTGTATTTAAGCTAACACTAAAAAAGCTTTATATTCTTATGTTCACACTGCCCTCAAGTGGCTTGTGAAGTCACAATCTTAAATTCTTCCATGATACTAATCATGTAAGGTTTGCACGTAATGGTTACATATATCTAGATATGTTACTTACATAACTAGTATACAAATATTTACGGGAACTAAATATAATGAGAGAACCCAGATGTATGCAAGAAAACCCAGCATTATGTACTGAAGAAAAAAACATTTACCTTCTAAAATAAGCATTACCAGTGTAATGGTAGCAAGGCATATACAGAGGGTCTCCGATATTTGTTATAAGAAAGTAACTTATAGCAAGATAAGATATATGGGGAAAGTTTTCCCAATAAGAAAAATGTAAGTATGAAGGGTTGGGGATGTTAAGGGCATAAACTTAAATTCACCTTAAATCAGAGAGGTTTTTCCTATAAGAATGAATGGAATAGAGTAGGGTTTGGGACTAAGTGTCGATTGTAGCTACCCAAATACAGTACACGTAAATGCAAGTGATTTTTTTAACTGCAGCCCCAATAGCTTGACAACATTATTGAGGTAAACATATTTCAGAGTGAATTATAACAGGGACCCCTTCTGTACTGTATGTACACCAGTGGTACATTTACATACATTCCCCTGTACATTGTTAAGAAATATTAACTATTACACAGCAAGGTTAACAGTGATCTGCCCCAGCCACTGGCTCGCTAATGTAAAAAGACCAGGAGATCATGCCATTCCAGGACAGGCCTCTCTAGAAAGCAAGCCTTATTTTAATGACACAGCATGTTGATCTTAAATGGGTCCTGTTTCATTTTCAATGAAAACTCTTTTAGAAGTTTGCTGTGGGTGAGTGTTTAACTTAAACCATTAAGCCTCAGGATTCAGTTTTCAGGGTCTGTCATATCTGATTTTCTATATTTTTTTTCTTTTTTCTTTTCAATACTCTTAAATACTCATTTGAAGTGTGCCTTGTTAGTTCCTTGATATATGTGGCTTCCTATCTCAATTCCGTTTTCTGTGCTGTTACATTTTTCACCTCTTAGGGATTATGTGCAGTTTCGTATCTTTGTTTTCAAAGTGTTTCAAAGTACTGATAAGCTAGCTGGAAACTCAATGAAAGCAGCATTTTTGTGTGCAACATTTTGTGAACTTAGAGCAGAACATACAAATAAAGAGCAGGGCACAAGAAAAAGGAACAGGTACTATCCAGGCAAATGCCCCCAAAAAAGCTTAGCCAAACACTTTCGTTGTTGGGTAAATCAAACAGACAGTGGTGGTCGGGAAATGCTCTGATTTTCAAGGTTTAGTAAGTAAACCTTGACTGTGTCTTTGAATTTGGCTTTTAAAATTGTGAGTGCGATCAATCACAGCTTTGGCCCTGAGACGTATCTTTACTGCTCTGTAATTGACAGCTGAGTGTCGTGCTTTGTTGATGTCTTTGTGCCACAGTGAGCCACCTTTCCACCTGACCCGGCGAGGCTGGGGGGAGTTTCCCGTTCGAGTGCAGATACACTTCAAGGACCCCCGAAACAAACGCATCGATATCATTCACCATCTGAAGGTAGGGCGACCGCTGTTGGGAAAATCAAGTCTGCTGTCTCTGTTTCCGCTGGCATTTCGCATTCTTAACAGAGAGGATGTGTGCAGCGTGGGATCAGCAGGGGTCACCGAGAAAGACAGTACCATTAGTAAACTACTGCATTGACTTTTGTACAGTAAATGAAGTACAAAAGAAAAAATGAAAGCAAAACGGGAAAATGCAGACAATCCTGTTGAGAGCCAGTATGTAATGAAAGTCAGATAAATATCTATTAGGCAGTTTTTAATATATTCTTTGTCTGCTGAAATCCACCTAAAAGTGTACGTATTTTTATTTGAATATACTAACTTGTTATAATGACATATTCATTTCTTGTTGCTGTTTGCGTGGAATACATTTATATTAGTCTGTGTTGCTGTTCTTTTTTGCAGTTTCAATTAGCTGCCTTCTAGGCAAGGCAGTACGTTTCTCTGAAGTAGAGCTGCTCACCTGATTATTCCCCTTGCTTTTCTTTTCACACAGCTTGACAGAACTTACACTGGTCTGCAGACCCTTGGTGCAGAAACGGTAAGGTGCCGTGAGCTGGAGGCCGAACAGTTTGATCATGTTATGCCTAAAATATGCAGCCATAGACCTTTCCTTGTTTTGTAGCATCTGATTTATCGGTTTTGTTCTCTGTTTTGATAGTAGTCAATTAACACTACACGGCCTACAAGGTTCTCCTAGGATTTCCTGGCCTCGAACTTCATAAAGACTATTGTGTACCTAAAAAGCATAAACAGTGGTCTCAGGTGACATTCGTTTTAATCTGTGTGATGATTCATAGAGTGTGGTGATTATTGTGACCTTGTTTTTATGTAAAAGCATAAAAACAAAAGCATTAGAAAAAAACCTCACCAGTTGGCTAGGCGGTACTGAAAGATGCTGGTCAAGTTTTAACCTCAGAATGAAACGAAGCAAGCTGCTAAAAACTGAAATCTGAAACTGAAGCATGTGTTCCTAATTAGTCCTTGCAGCTGCAAATGACTGGGTGACTTGGAAGAGCCAAACCATCTCATTGTGAAAACATCCTTTCTTGTTGTCTTCAACTTGTGTTGTGTATCACTTGGGAACGAACTTCAGTCACACCCTTCACTTGTGTTACTGCATACTCTGACTTCCTACATCTCCTTTCCTTTCTTTGTTCCTCCCTGGCCTTCATAAGAACTTGATCTCTTATTTTCAACTTTCCTTCCAGTCTTTTTCAGTCCTCTTCCCATTTTCTGCCCTCTTTCACTCTTCCCTCTCTTTCATTCTCTGCCCTTCCAGTTTTCCGTTAGTGGCGTTTTAACAGGACAGTGCTGTGCTGCCCACCCAATAGTAACAAACACAATACCCTCTTCATTTACACAATCAAAACTTTTTCTTCACCTCTCTCTTTTTGCCCGGGAGGTGGTGGACGTGGAGCTGCACCGAAACTCCCTGGGGGAGGACTTCTTCCCTTTCCCCTGCTCTTCCTCCCGCCAGCCAGCATCTGCTCAGCCCGATACCCCCTCCTCCGCTCCCCAGACTCCCGGGCCCTCGGCAGGCCGCTCGTCCTCCCCGGTCCGCCTCACTCAGGACTCACTCAGCACGGCAGAGAAAGGTGAGCAGGTGTCCGCGTGGAAGGCTCTTCATTTCAGCCCTTGTTTTTCGCTGGGATTCCTACCGTAACAGTTTTTTCTGGGGAAAACGAATGCATGGAGGAAATGATTTCTCAAGTGAAGCAGTGATAAAGTAGGTGGTGCCCTGTGTGCTTATCAGACTTCAGTGTGGAGTATATTATTTCTTTGGGATAGTCAATTGTTTTTGCCCCCTCCTGTTTTGATTTTTCTCTTCGCCAAAGTTGAAAAGCCAATTCCTGTTAAATCTAGGGGTGAAGATAATGTCTTGAGACACACAGCAGTTTTTCGCCTACTTGATAAAAACAGATTGCATTTTAATGTGCAAACTGTAAGAGATCTTTGTTGATTAATTATCACTGTCCATAGAGCTAATGTGTGATTTTTTTTTCATGACTCATATCTCCAATATGTGAAATTTAATACTGAAATTCCATTCTACTATTCCACAGTAGCATCTGAAAAGATGTTATTTATATTGGAGGTAATTCTTTGGACATGCATGTCACTGCCAGCACAGAGCTAAACTTTAAATTGCTCACTTCAGTCCTCTTTTATAGGTTTTTCTAAGGGTATTTTTTCACAGAATTGTGTTCATTATTGCAAAACCTAATTGATGCAGAGCTCTGTTTTAAGCAGAAAGCACATGATGTTCAAAAACTAGGAAGACACACAAATGGAGTTGGTAGGAACCTCTTCATAAATAGCTGTGTAAGGTCACAATGTTAAAAGGCCATGTGAAAATTGGAGTGGACAGGGCTCTGGACTTAATACTTTGTTCTGGGGGTTCATATTCCAGGTGGGACATTACTGATGTACCCCTGAGCAAGGAACTTCACTTGCTTTGCTCTAGTTAATGCCTAGGTGTGTAAATGGGTAGAAATGTAAGTGACATATGAGAAATACATGGGCAACATAAATTAATACTACAGTATGATGTTCAAATGCATAATAAGAGATAGCAAGCTGTGGAATGTTCAGAAATTGCTCATATTTCAAAGCCTTTTCAGAATAATGTCCCACTGTCTTCATCTTAGTCTTCTCTATTTCCAAAATTAACATTGCTGTATGCTAATAAGGATGATTTATGAAAGGCTGTTAATCTTGCAATTAGTAGTGTCAGACAGCAAAGAGTAAAACAGAAAAGGTATGAATTAACTTGATCTCTTCACCTGCCAAAGGTTTACTTCATTGGTGATTCAGCAGCAGGTTGAAAATCCTGGAGCATATTAATCTACAGTTATGAAGTCATGTTCTCCAACAAACAGCTTACTTACTTTCTGTCTCCTTTAGGATTCCCTATCAAAAGTGAAGCTGGCAGATCCACTGGCTACACCCTCCTCTCCTCAGAGCGCACACCAACTCGGCCCAAAGCCACTGAGAAAATCACTCTTGGTTCCCATGGGAACTCTGCCTTTCAACCAATCACAGCAAGCTGTAAAATCGTGCCGCAGGGACAGGCACCCAACCCTGCGGAGTCCCCTGGGAAGTCTTTCCAGCCAATCACTATGAGCTGCAAGATTGTATCAGGTACCCAAGTTCTCTTGAAGCAGGTGTGTCGTCTAATATTGGATAAAAGTAAATCACTTTTAAGTTACTTTGCTTCAAGCGTGTTGTATTACATTTGTTGAATGTGATGCTGCCCTGTTGATACTCTTGTTTTTTATTATTCTTCATGCTTGTCTAGTAATAATTCTAAAAACCTCACAGAGGACCTTCCTAGACTCTTGTGCAGGATGTTTACACAAGAGAAAAAAACTTCAGTACAGGACTAGAAACCCTGTTGGTGACTCACTCAGATCTTTTGCTGACCAAATTCTTCTTTTTCTTTTTTTTAACAGTTCTTCTAGCTTCCTTATCTGTTGTAATGTAATCCTTTATGTATTTATAAAAAAATGTTTACAGTTGTGAGCATAGGACAATTCTTTTGGGATCAGTTCTTTCAGCACTCTGCAGTTTTGATTGTGTATACTAATAAAACGAAGTGCTTGAAGGCCACTAGCTTGGACATCTGGTTTCTAATTTAGAAAGTAGTTACTTGTGCCCTATACTACTTGATGAAAGGAACAAATTAAATTATTCAACCTGTAACAGACTGTGGCATTTCACTTGAGATATTTAAAAGATCACATAAAGTAGCTTCTTCTCCACTTGGGTATTATCCACCAAATGATGTAGGCTGACCTGGGGAGTGGAGTGGAAGCTATTTGGTAAAAAAAAAAAAGTAAATGCTTGCAGTAACAAATAACACAGCAGACCTAAACAACCTGGTTAGGATGGACAGGACGGCCATCTCCTGGTTGGGCTTACCATCTTGCCCAAGACCAGTCAGTGAAGCTGCTGACTACAGTGGGCTTATTGAATGCTTGTCTTTATTTCTTTCTGTGCTCCAGGCTCTCCCATCTCCACCCCCAGTCATTCCCCCCTACCCCGCACCCCCACCTCCACCCCAGTGCACATGAAGCCGGCTTCCTCTGTCATCAACAACCCCTACATCATCGTGGACAAGCCTGGGCAGGGCATTGGCATGGCATCCTCGGCTGCAGGTACCGCAAGGCCTTCTCACTATCGCAGTGCTGCAGCAGCTACCCCTAGCTGACATTTTAACACCTCTCTCATCTTAGAGACCGTATCCTGCTGGTTTATCATTAGAAGATGTCTATATTCTTTTTTTCTGTTGCCCTGTATCCATGTGTGTCCCCACAATCTGCCATCAACAGACCTAATTTTTCCCTTTTCTCCGTTATGTATGTTTTTTCATTGTTTATTTGATCTGCCTACTATGTTTCATCTACTGTATATATCTAACTTTGTATGACCGTATACCATCGATTTAACCTAATGTACTGTATCTAACATGTTTGAGTAATGCTAAACCAAACACTTCAAAAGCAATATTTCTCCCAGACTAAGTGGCACATGTGTGTTTGTTTTGTTACTGTAAGCTGACTAAGGTTTCTTCACTGTGTACGTCTCAGCACTTTAGGAAACCTTTACTGAGGGGTAGGTTCAGGAAAAAAACTATGCATATCTGCATACTCATCCATCTTAAATGTCCTGATGCAGAAAAAAATGAGACTCAATCGTGTTTCCAGCTCTTTTCGCTTTTGGTTTTTAAAAGACACTCAACTCAGCTGTGCAAAGCTGCATCCCATACATGGGCTCCACAATTTTACGGTACCTGTCCTGCTCTCCTTACAATTTCTTAGTTTTAAAGCACTGTACAGAAATAAAAAAATATGAATGCATTAAAGAGCAAGCTTGCACAGAGCCAGAGCAGCTGTCCTTTGTCAGTTATGGAGCGTGATAAACATGCCTTTGGAAACTTGTTTTTAAAAAACAGTCTTTATTCTAAGCCCACAAAAATGATAACATGCAGTGAGAAAGCACTGTTCTGAAGGTTTCTATGGCTACAAGCCTGCTGCTTGCTGCGGCCTGGTGACAGGGAGAGATTAAAGAGGATAGATGAGAGTCCTAAAGGAACTGCTCTTGGTGGGTATTAAAGACTTACAATGAGGGAGGTAGGCAACAGGCTCACAACAGTATCATAGTTTCATTTTGTAGCTGTTAGGGGTTTTCTTGATTCTACATACTCCTCACAATGATCCACTTCAGTCACCTGCCTTTGGAAAATTGGTTACATCTATGCTGTAGTCCTACATGAATATAGTGTGATTTGAAGCAGCTGATAAAGCATTTTCTTTATTTTGAAAGTTGTGCATGACAAACAGTTAAACAGCCCTTCTGTGTGTATTTTTGGTACTTGAACTGTACTTGTATCACTCCCTGGGGAATCGCATTAATGTGGAATTTTCCACAGAATTACTTGTCTACTGTGAAATCAGTTAAATATATATATTACCAATAAGTTACATAACTCATGAACTTGCATTAAAATAATTTTCTCATGTATTTCAACATTTTGGTGGGAGTAAAGGGTCCTGTGGAAAATTGTCTTGCTAATTTAGAACAATACATATGTTGTGGAAACCGGGAACTATCTTTGATTCTGAGAGCCTGGAGCTCCTGTAGGATCCTTAAATTCCACCAAACAAGTTGTTGTCCATCCCAGTTCAAGAGGGAATTCTGAAATAAAAAGATGTTGAGAGAAGCTTTTGTGATAAACACATACTGCATTTTTTTGGGACAGCTAATAGTTCAGTTTTGTGATTCTTTGCTACAGGAAGTCCAACAGGCAAGCAGTCCAGCTCCCCCCAGGTGTCTCAGGGAGCACGATCACCAGCACCCAAAGTCCACGGCACCAGCTTCATCACGTCGGGAGTGAAGGTAAGCTCCCAGGCTCAATGATGGTTTGTTAAAAACCCTTTGTAGGAATTAAAAAGTCTTTAATCTGAATTAGGAGGAATAAGGTGCATAGATAAAATCTGACTAAACGTTTGTTTACTTTTAACACCAATACCAACATTTTGAAATTGAAAAAGAACACTGACGATTATTATGGTGATGCTTTTACTTTTTAACTTATTTCACAAGTCTTCTTAACTGTGCATGGTTTTACGGTGTATCAGTGTACAGTTTACAGTGTATCATCTCTTGTAAGGTGTATAATCTTTCGTCTTCTCGGCTTTACATGGGGGCGCAGTTTGCCTAGTTTAGCGGTTTTTGCTGTGTTTGTCCGAAACCTCTTCAAAATGGCGCAGTGACAAAGGAGCACTGCATCCTTGACATGTGCTAGACTTGAGAAGTTGGTATGAGAAATAAAGGCTGGGCCTCTCCTGTAGTAAATATGGAGAAAACTTCACATTTTATTGAAATGCAGTGCCCTCTACTGGATAGTTGCTTGGTGAGACTATGGGGTAACAATTTAAGATACGCCCTGTCACCTCTGACTAAGTAATGTGCTATACTGTATGTATGATGTGGCTACTGGTATAAAAGGTGGATCTAAATAATTCTTGCAAATAAGCAATGCCCTTTTGCCCATCTTCCCCCTTTCCTATGTTACAGCATCATACAAAATATGAAAGGTATAAGTTTCCACTTACAGTACATTAATATTACGTTTGGTGCTCTTGTTTCTCAATGTTTAGTACTGAAACTAAAGGCATTTGACTCTTATTGACATCATGCCCATAGCAATAAGTGGTGATGTGTTGTAATACAGACATAAAAACATGCTGGGAATGGCCTGTCGAATCTTTATTGATTGTTGTGCCTTATCCAGAGAAAGCAATGGAAGCCTCTTTCTGTTGACGACAGAAAGGGATCCTTAATTTAGCACAGTGAAGATGCCACACTGAACTTTTAAAGAGGATCAGCAACAGCAACTGCCTGACTGCAGGCTGTCCTGAAACCTTTAGGGTTGTGACTGAGTCACTGTTATTTATAGTTGCTTCACATGCCTTTTTTCCAAAATACCAAATGACTGAGATGATGTATCAGATTTTTCAGTTTTCTTTTGCATTATGTACACAATACTAAAGGAAAAGTAAGAATTTATATTTCTGTTTTTCACTGATATTATAAAGTGTGAAGCATACAGCCTTCACTATAGACCAACATAGGGACAAATTGTTTCCTCCTTATCCTTAACCTACAATCTGTTATCTAAACACATTTATCAACCATGAAATACAGTTTATATGCATGTTCTTCTTTGCATATTTCTCTTCTCGTATCTTTTAACTGGAGAAAGCCCGGTGCTTGCTGGTCATGATTGCGTCCTGTTTGTTTTGTTGGCAGGAAGAATCACTGTTTGCAGCCATGCCACCTCTCTGTCCGATTGGAAGCCAGTCCAAGGTTCAGAGCACAAAGCCTTTGTCCGGGGGACTGGGTGCCTTCACAAAGGTGAGCCAGCAAATCAGCTGTATTAAGAGGTTGGAAAAAATCGCACAGGCCCTGTAGTGCTTTGGAAGTAACGTGGCAAAAAAGTATGTCACAGAATGCAAAAACAAAACAAAAGTAATTGGTGATCTTACTTGTCATTTTAATTTGTTGATAATAACTTTTGGGTTTTTGCTTTATTAAAGTCTTAGAATTATTCATTTACACATTTCTTTACAAGAGCAATAAATATATGAGAAATTAAGGGAATGCTTTTGAGGCTTTTGGAGAAAAAGTCCCTTTAAGGAAAAGTTGAAAATGAAAAAAGATCTATAAAGGTCTATTGAATTATTTTCTTGATTTTAAAAAAACATCAGCCATATAGCAGTTGCACATAACTATAAACATGCTTTCGGGGGAAACTAATTTAGTGCATTCTAAGGAAGAGGTACTTTATATTTCACAGTGCAATCCTAGATTGATTTATTTTGATCATTCCATCTAATGTCCTAATGTTTTCCAGTTTCCCAAGCAATTACCCAGGCACAAGTAAATTATCTTGAGTTTCTGACTATTGTGAAGTTGCTTTTACATTTTTTAAGAAGGAATTAGTTTGATCAGCTGGACAATCTTCTTTAGAGAATCTTACTGAAACATCACTGCTATGGTCCTATGCACTGTATATCCAGATGTTGTTTTACATTTCAGTGTCCATGTGAAACGCATATGGAATCAGTGTAAATATATGGTAAATAAATTGTGTAAACAGAGCTGTTGAAACATATAGTCTTGACCACTGATAATGTTGGTGTTTAAATATAAAAATATATTATATTTATTACAATTAGTTTTTTTACATTTGAGTCCTATATAACTGTCATAGCATGTGCTTATAATACAAGTAATTAGATCGCCTGTGTATTTCACTTGATGACATGATAGTTTATACAAGCATGAGTGAATGGAACTATAGCTATTTTCTAAAAATTATTTATTTAATAATGTTTCTTTATTGATTAATGTGCAGAAAAGTCAATTCAAGAAAAGTAATGCATGTGTTTACAGTTGTTTTATGACTTTGTAGAACTGTTTTTATTTTTGGTCAAAACAAGTTGACCTTTTTTTTCTAGTGTATCCCTGAGTCCAAACTCACTGCCAGTTTTGGCATAATCTTGTCTTGTTCATTCTGGGTTGAGCTACATAGGAGCTTTTGAAGTTTTCTGTTGCTGCTAATGTCTTTCTTTTATCGCCACAGACTAATAAACCAGATGCTATCTTGGGCACATGTATGTGCCATTCACATCAAAAGCTATATAAGTAGGACATCTCCTCAGTGATGTTCTCTGCAGAGAATAACTTGATTCCCTTTAGGAAACATTGAATCCTGGAACCAGTATCTAATTGCTCTTCCCTTGTGAAGATGAAATATTGTCCTGTCTGTAACCTTTGCAGCACTAATGACGTGGGTGTCAGCATGACCCACTACAGAATGACAAGATTTAACATGAGTTGAGGATCCAAAAATAAAGCTTTACATGTTGGATTTTGCAGAGATTTGCATATCAGCTCACAGGAGAGTTGACTTTAGCTTGTCTTTTCTGTAAAGACAGTATTCATCTCACCAAATACTGTATTCATGTCTGCCCCTACAACCAAAACATTGTTTTTTCTTTTTTATTTTTACTTTTCAGTGTTGAATTGTCCCTTTTTAGCTTGCGCTGTGACACATTTTCCCCTTGTAACTTCTGGTCATAAATTTAAGGATTAAAGAGTTGTTGTTTTTTTAAAAAAGAGCTTAGGGTTGACATTAAATGGACAAGTATTCTAGTGTGAATAACTCCAGGTGATTGGCTGTATGCAATGTGTGAAAAAAGAATGCATATCGCAGTGTGAAAGTGGGCTAGCGTGACCCTGGGCTCTCTCTGTTTTTCAGGTCATTATTAAACAGGAGCCCGGGGAGGCTCCTCAACAGCAGCAACAGCAGCAGCAGCAGCAGATGCTTGTTTCCACGGCAACCTCACAGCAGCCGGCACAGCAGTTTGTCGCAGTGAAGGGTGGTCACATGATTGCTGTGTCACCACAGAAACAGACCAGTGCTGCTGGTGCTGGAGCCACACAGAACAAGGTCCATCATCTTTCTCAACTGTCTCTGAAGTCTCTTGTCATGTACACACCATCCTGATGAGTCAAATGAGAGGGATAGTGTTGCCGGTTGTTCCAGAATTTTAGTTTTCATGATTTTCATGTATTTCTAACTCCCACGCGTTCAAAAACCAAACTGCCTATCCATTTAAAGGAGTTTTAGTATACAGAAGTTGCTATTGGTGATGTATCTTGCTTCGAACAGATGGCAGGCTTGCTTCCACTGGTATTAACAATAAATGGCCGATGCGTAGGTCAGACCTCAAACTTACAACCTCTGCACATTTTATATTCATGTAATCGAGCACTTGAAGCCGTGATGAAAAATCAATTAAGCTTTGCTAACGTCTGAAAATAATTAAGGTGCAGTGGCACAAAAACCCGGGGCCTTCCATTCAGGGACTGGAGCTGAAAATGACTAACCTTAATAGCTGTGTACTAGTAATACCATGTGCCATGTAATAGTAAAAGAAAATAGTCACACAAAATATTAGTGAATATATTGTACATGAAAATAGTTTATTCATGTTAAATCCTGTAAGTGTTATTTTTTGTTTCAGAAGTAACAAGGTATGGTAGGGGATGTTCAAACCCTTTTTTTTCTTTTTATTACAGTGGTTCAGAAGCCTGCTTCAGGCAACATCAAAATAAGTCCATCCCCCCACTTGCTGATGTTCATGTTTGTGTCAGATCCTTATAGACTGTTGCATAATTCCCCTGACTCCTCTGGAATACTGATTCAGCTTATTTTCATTAAGGATTACTTAATGCGTACCTGCAAAACGTGTGGAGCATTTAAAAAAAGTGCTGAAGATGTTTTTAAACAGCAGTACTCCTTAGTAGATTAGTAACAAAAATGTACTATTTCTATACAGTTAAACACCCGTGTTTTGAGGTACTTCAGTGGATTCTGCTAAGTAGTTTTGCAGATTGAGTTGTATTTTATTATTAGTATGTGTTATTTCAATTCAAGAGCCACTATAAATATCATATATGCAATGTTATACTGTACAACTTGAAGTAAAGGTTAAACCATTTTTACAGCAGCCAATTATGTTGCAAAATTCTCTTATATGGAAATGTAGTCACATATTCCCTTGTGATGATGGAGGTCTGGAACATCTGCTGTTTTACCACTCTCTAACAGTTTTGAACTCGAATTGTGATGCTGCAGAAGTTCCCATATCTATGTGCTGTTGCTCTCTTTTGCTTGGCTTGACACAGTTATTGGTTGGGAACATGATGATGATGAAAACGAAGATAACCTATAATAAGTAGCCCCCACACTCCCCTGACAGAGGCGTGGTTGTGAGCTGTGTGTTCTCCCCCCCCAGGTCGTGGGTATCCCAGTGGGCTCAGCTCTGCAGTCAGCAGTGAAGCAGGCAGTGGCTATCAGCAGTGGTCAGATCCTGGTAGCCAAGTCCAGCCCAGCCGCCTCCAAGGTGATGGGGCAGAAACAGGTGATCGCCCAGGGTGTGGCCAAGGCTATAGTGAGCGGAGCCAGTGGCACAATTGTTGGTCAGTCCGTGCAGACCGTCACCAAGGCACAGAGCTCTTCTGCTGGGACAGCCAAGACTGGAGGCCAGGGCTCAGGTAACGTGATAGGTTCAGAATCCTAGTGGGCTCTGTGAAGCTACTGTATTATTTCCTTCTGGTGTTCAGAGTCAGAGTGCCTTTTATTCATCAAGGTGGCGCTTCTGAATGTTCCTCAATAGAGAGGGTTGCTGTCGACTCAGAGAGAGACTCACAGGTATAGTTTCACAAAATTAACGAGTAATAAGAAATTAAGTGTTCAGAAGCTGTGCAGGCAGTGAAATCTCCAAGATAATATTCTGCAAGAATGTCAGGGGCATTGCTGTTCTTAGATTTCTGGCATGACATTTACAGTGATTTAATATAAGTAGAGTCCTTTCACTTGTTATTTCTCAGAAAATAACAAGTGTTTTTAGTCTGTTTTTTTTTCCAACAGTGATACTTTGGAACAAGGGAGATAACATCTGTGAGAACATTATATTGTTAAAGCCATTTACAAGAAAAAAATCTAAATTGTGTGAGCAAAAAACCCTGAAGTCATTATATTCTTAGATATTAAATAAAGAACCTGTCTCTGTACAAATTCTATGAAATCTAACTAGGGTTTTAGAACAAATATTTTCTCATTGTATTATCAAAAACATGTGCTAAAAATATGTTTGTGTAGAATTTCTGCCAAGTTATACTTGCAAAGCTCTTTGGTTGTCTTTTCCATGCCTCACAACTGTTCTGACAGTCAATGAAACTCGTTCTCAGGGTTTGATTTGTTGAGTTTGTCTGATTGTGTCCGTTCTCAAAGCCTGGCTCAGTTCTGATGAAAGGCCAAGAGGGTAATGCACAAAATAACATCACTGTAAGAAGTTTTAATGGTCTGTTGAGTGACAAAGAAGTTCTTGATGACAAAATGCCAGAAGCCATATCACCCTGCAACTCACGACTGGCAACCCACTGAAGCTAAGCAGGTGTGAGCCTGGTCAGTACCTGGATGGGAGACCTCCTGGGAAAAACTAAGGTTGCTATAATTATATAATAAACTAAGGTTGTAGCTGGAAGTGGTGTTAGTGGGACCCAGGGCACTCTTGTAGTCTGTGTGAGTCCTAATGCCCCAGTGTAGTGACGGGGACACTATACTGTAAAAAGCCTCCATCCTTCAGATTAGATGTCAAACCCATGTCCTGACACTCTGTAGTCATTAAAAATCCCAGGGCATTTCTTGAAAAGAGTAGGGGTGTTACCCATTAGCCTAAACCAACTTTCCATTGGCCTCCTAATAATCCCAATGTATGAGTTGGCTTCATTACTCTGTTGTCCTCCTCACTGATGTGTGGTGAGCATACTGTGTACTCACTTATGACTCCTATCGTGTCATTAAGGTGGGGCTGCACATTGGTGGTGGTGGAGGGGAGTCCCCATTACATGTAAAGAGCTTTGAGTGGAGTGTCCAGAAAAGTGCTATATAAGTGCAAGGAATAATTATTATAAAAATCGATGCAGTTTTTGAATTGTTATTAATACATTAACATATGGAAGCAAAGTAATTTAAAGTCAGGTATCTACTTTTACTTCATAGAAATAGGGTAGAACAGAGTTCTAGGAAGTTTAAGGAAGGGAGGATTTTTCAGATTACCCCCGATATCTCGTTTCAAATAAAAAAGAACTGATTAGTTTTTATAAGCTTGGCTCAGAAACAAAGCACTCTTGTAATCAGCAGTGTGAATGAGGGACATTGTCCTTTGTTTCATTTTATGTTTCCTGCAGTTCTGCAATCTTGCGTGAAATTAATAAACTGAAAATTCCATTTTACTTTTCTGTCAAGCTATTTGGAAATTAGAAAGAATACTTCAGAATTCATAAGACATGTAGTTATCATAGCTGATAGTTGTACTGTGCAAGTACAGTGTCCTAAGTTTTAGAAGGCCATTAAATATATATTAGTTCTCTTGTCACTGAAGTACAAAAGGCAATTCACTAGGCCTATAATAGATGCAGGAGAATATCTTTGACATTATATTACAGACTAGATGTGGAGCTTTTTTTTTCTTAGGCATGTTTAATATCCATTATTTCATTTTTTTTCCAATTACTATAGCGATAGTGTCATATCTCTTGCAATGATGAAGTAGCATATGCTGTGATTTTTCAGTACAGCAATGAGAATGCTAGCATAAATGGCAAAGCTAATGATCCAACCAGCGGCAATACAAAAATGATTTTACGGGAAAACATGAACCCCCAATATAAGACACTCACTTCCTAAGACTTCCCATTTTTTTAAATTCTGAATAATTTGAAAATGCCAGCATTTAATTTTATATACAGATCTACAAATCTGGGTGTGCTGTTAGAAGGAGTGCACATTTACAGTTTAGCACATTTCAAGTGTTATACATCACTGGCAATACCCACAGTCTTCACATTGAGACTGGTTGGCAGCACAGGGTACTATTTTTATGATGCCCCAGATTATGTGGTCATCTAGGTTAGGTAGCCATTCAGTGCTTCTGCAACTTGCTGCTGAGTGAATAGCCATCACGTTTCCAAAGAAACAAGTTTAGGTTTCCATCCAGGTTTGTGGCACTGGGAAGTCCATGTGGGTTTGCTTCCTGAGAGGCAAGACAGCTGCCAGATTCCTAATCCTGAGATTAGTTTAAATCAATGACAGCCATGAAAGATCAAAACCTCAATTAGGAGCACCAACAGTCTGATTGTGTATTATTAAGGTTCACATTATGAAGAGCTAAAAAATGTTGGTGACACCAAAAACAAAAATCCTGTTTATTTTTATTCTAAAATGATTTTTATTCGGCGCATCAATCCCTGTATGTGTCCCATGGGTTGTAGTACTTGCTTTTCTCTTAGGGAAACTTGCATAGTTCAGATCTCTCTTTCTGTGCTACATATTGATTTACACTCATTGATTTTTGTTGTGGTGGATAATTTGGCTGCTTTGTAATAACAAGTCACTTTCAAGAGATAGGGAGAGAAGCTGCCCACAGTTTGATGTTGTATCTTGCATTTCTCTTTGTTTTTGTTTTTCAAAATTAAAATCTGTTGGTGAGAAAATGTGGAATTTTGCATTGGATAAAAGTGATGGAATTTTTCTAACAGTAAAGTGGAGTTTTTCATGTTACCTAATATTATGTTCAGCTTTGAGCTTCTTTCGATGACATCTTTGCTTCAAGTATTAAAAGATTTATTTTTTGGATTAGGACAAACAGTTGATTTGCACTTTAGCTTTAATTTAGAAGAAATTTGGAAGGATTTGCCTCGATGTATTTAATGTTCTAATTCAAAAATGGATGAAGGTGAAATAATTGCTTTAGAGATAAGTTTTGATTATTCTTCTTCTGGAAAAAAAAATTGACTGATAATGCACCTGACAGAATGCATTTTGATTAAGCTCTTGCTGCTTCATTGATAGGCATGACCCTAAATCTACCTTAATACTGTCTGCAGAAAACACAGGAGAGTACATGATAGGATGTCAGTTAAAAACTATTCTTTTATTTTATTTACATTTTGTTTCATGTGTTTTAGTGATACAGTAGGAGATTTTCAGTTTCAGTTAAAGTTTAAGTATTCCCTGTAGTGTCATTATGGCATGGTCCATCTGCAACTGGAGTTTCACTGTATCACATTGCATTAGTGGGAAGAAAGATTAGCTTTTGTGACACTTCATCCTAATCTTGGTGTTAAGTATGTGTAGCAGAGGTAATTCTCTGAGCAGAAAATGTTACCCATTGAAAGGCATGGGATCTCAGAAAGTTCCACTTGCTTAAATTAGTTTACTACAATAAGAGGAATACTGTGTTCCACTGTCTTTTACTCCTAAATATATTTTTTTGGTTTAGCTCTGTAAATAAAAAAAATATTTGGACTTTGTTTTCTATTATTTTTCCCCTTTTAGTGTCTTGTGGTTATTATTCCAAGCAGGTATTGTGCATAAAGCTGGCCCAATCATTCTCTGAAGTACTTCAGAGTTAACTGTTTTCAGAATAGTCTACATTATAACTTGGTTACATCATCAGTAATCGATTTTTTGTGTTTTTGTCTTGTTTTTCCTCCTTGTTATTTAGTTATGGCTACGCTCCAGCTTCCAGCTAACAACCTCGCAAACCTGGCCAATCTACCTCCAGGCACAAAACTCTACTTGACAACCAACAGCAAGAATCCTTCAGGCAAAGGCAAGCTTCTGCTGATACCACAGGGAGCCATACTGCGGGCTTCTAATCCTTCAGGTAGGCCCCGCTGATGCCCTGTCCTCGTTCTGACATGTTCTGTTTTCTTTTGGCTTTTCAATGCGTTGAAAGGACGCAAAATCCTTTGATATCAAGTGCCCAGTGTCGTTTTAAGGTTTAATAAATTGGTTGTTCAAGAGGATCTTTTTCTGTTTTATTATTTTTCCTTGTCTTCATCTTTTATTTTTTACTCCCCCATTGGATAAATACTAGTTACTCATAGAAAACTAGACCAAATTATATCTCGGCTGTCTTCGAAGCAGACAACAATGAAAGGTTGAGATTTAGATTGTGCTTTTCCAGATACTGCCATATAATGGTGCAAATAACCATGTGATTTTTTTATTAGGAGTATATTGTGATGTTCAATATGGGAGCACTAGGATTGCATTGTTTTCTTCATTTCTTCATTTGCATTAGGTCTTTCCTAGTGTTTCAAAGATAATGGTGACTTCACATAGTCACTTTTAATTTTAAATTCTTAAACCTTATTCTTTCTGATATAACAGAGTTGCATATTAATAAATATATTACTGGAGAAATTGTGGTTTCTTAATCTCATCTTTTTTCATTGTTTCCTGTGAAAACGTAGTGTGTACCCTTTCATTTGCCACTAGTGGGAGGAGAATAAACTGACTGATTATAGCAGATAAACTGAGCAGTTTGGATTTACAGTGGCACATAACAGGCCTCATTAGCCAAACCTGAAAAGGGCATACAATATTAGGCTGCATTATAATGAGCATTCTGGGTTTCACTACAATGAGGGTTGTAGTGCTTAAAGTATTAGATAATTTTCATAGTGTAAGAAACCTTACTGATTTTTTCTACATAGGCCAGCAGTCCCAAAGTGCTACTACCACAAGTGGAGGAGGTTCCCAGACTCCCACAAGCAGCAGTCTCCCCCAAAACCTATCGTGTACCTCCTACATCCTCAAACAAACACCACAGGTGTGTATACAAAGCTTTTCTTACTTATAGCAACTTCTGAAGATGCTCTTCAGCCCAAACTTTTATTAACTGCCCATGTCAAATTTCTGCAGGGCATTGACTTTCATTTTGTAGCTACTAATATTGTCTGTTAGACATTGGGTGGAAATTTATGATTTTTTAATTTTCAGTATAAGATCCATGCTTTTCTCTATTTGGACCATATCACAAATGAACTGTTTTCTTACTAGATGACAAAGTAAAGCAAGCATGAATACATACTGTACTTGGAGCCGGCTGTGTTTGCTTTCCAGATTTTAATTTGGCAGATTCTTATCTTTGTGGTTCATAGAATCTTTGGTTTTTCATTTTCCAATAGCTCCAAGTTTAAATCTAATTTTTCTTTGTTAGTAATTTGTGTCTCAACTAATCCTGAATTTGTTGGAGTGCAATTGCTGTTATACTTTAGTGCAATATTTGTAATACGTATTTAACTTTTGCTTTTGTGCTATGTACATTAATGATTATGATCCACTTTACAATACTTGTAGAATGAATTTGGAAAAGCCAAAAAAAGATAGATGCTTTGATCGTTAACCATCACAATCATTCTAAAGATAGATGGGCACAGAGACATCTAGCTTCTTAGCCAGCAATATTTCATGTTTTCTGCTTTTTCCACTATTGATAGCTATACAAGGAAATGTGTCAGTAAAATGCATGTGTGATAAACATTAGCAAGATTAAAGAAAGGGTCTATTTAATTTATTTTCTGTACTATACTTTCTACATGAGATTTCATGTGATTTCTTATTTCCCCTTGAAGTTAATAACCCCTGACAATGGAATACAACATCATCATCTATCAACGATCAACATATTGTTTTCGTTTCGTTTTCCATGGCTTTTTTCGTTTCATTTTCCAAGTGTCAGGGTAAAGGTTGACTACACAGAGGGAGTAGGATATGGCTAGGCTGTACTTTCAGTTTATTTACAGTAGCTCAGTGCATCAGTGTTAGTGAAAGATAAAATGAGTTACTTTTTTTACAATATTCTAAAGACTAAAGAAATGTGAATGTATGAGTTAACCTGAGTTTTGTAAAAGAATTAAAGTTTTTGTTCTTTCAGGAGCAATATAATGCTAATAGGCTGTTTCAGAGACACTGTTGGTCCATTGTATGTGAAGATGTGAAAGAGTGGGTGCTCTTCTGGATGCCTTATGAACTGGGCCAGCAGATGGAATCACTTCAGTAGTTCTTTTCAAAAGTGTAAATTGTGATGACCCGTTTTTGCAACAGCAAACAAATTCCAACTGAATTTCTGAAACTTTTCTTAGTTTTCCTTCTTCGTCTCAGTTTTGTCTCATGCTGCATTGCACCTTCACGCCCATACGGTCCTTCGGAAAATGGGGAGTGAGTTTTGCTTTGAAAACCAGAAAAGAAAATATCCTGCAGAGATACAGTATGTAGGACTATGGAAGAAATCACACAGGTCTGAAGCCCATCTTGATATACAAAACCATGGAGGTTCCTGTTTTTCACATGTGTGTCATACTGCCCCTTTTAAAAAAACTCATTTGCCCTTGCCAGGGGGAGAGATGATTATGTAAGGTAACATGTAATTCAGCTGCTATCTACTGCCCTTGTTATCGGATCCCCAGTGCTTTTAGAGAATGTTGCTGTTATTTTAGTTCATATTGATTAAACAGTGCATTGATGTTTCCAGGGGACATTTCTGGTGGGGCAGCCAGCCCCGCAGGGCTCCGGGAAGCAGGGAGCTGCGGGCTCCTCCGGTCACAGTGTCTCCTCCCCCTCTTCCATCACACAGCAAGCCATCAGGGTCACTGCTGGGCAGAAGGCGGCCATTCTGGCTCAGGTAAAGCCACAGCAAAGCACATCACTACAACCTTCTGACTTTCTGTCTTTGAGCTGTGTTTTTATTTCATATTATGTTATTTATGTCAGGATTCCACTTTTGCTGAGGTTATTTTAGGAATGAACAAGCAGAACTGAGAAATCACTGCCACAAAACATGTGATGGCGGGTTCCTAAGCTAATAGCTTTTCTAAATCTAGATTGGCACCTTTTCTATTCTGAACTCAAAATTACTGGCTGCACAAATATTGTGCATCTTCTTTTTTTTAAAAGTATTATTCCTAATATTGTTATAGAACAGTAAGAAGCGTAATAGAATCATATTCCAACTCTTGAATTAAATCACTTTAGTGTTTACCTTCAAACGTTATACCTTCAAAGGCAAGAGTTTGAAGGGAAACATTAAAGTGTTTTATCATACCGCTTTTTCTCAAAGGTATGCAACAAGCCATCGTGCTTGTTTTTGCACAGCATTTTTAGCATCATTTAGCATTTCTCTCACATCATAAGATGATGGAGGTAAAAGAGTTTTCGATTTTGTTTTGCCCCATGAGTAATTTTCGTAACTTACAGTATCTGGGTCATCAACATATGATCTTTGCTAAAAGAGACTGCAGCTGAGCAGTCTAGAATGGGGGTTCCTAATTACTGAGATTGTCGTTGTGGAGAAATAATCACATTTTGTTACTGTAGGTATATCCTTACAGGAGTTGCACCACTAAAAGTACTGTAAGTATAGCAAGGAGCGATGCCTCTGTTTACTACCTTTTTTTTTAAAGTCAAGGCTCTTAAATAAAATCGTTTATTTGCTTTTTGTATTTAGAGTTTTTATGCATGCCTGGGCAATTAAGAAATGCTTTCGATGATTACTGTGAAGCAGTCAGCTGCAATAAGGGACCTTTCACACACGCTGCTTTGGCTGATCAAACGATCTGCCCCAGCTGATCTGATTAAGTTTAACAACCGTGACATTGAGGCTTACATGCATGGTACAGTGGGTCTCATTATTTCTCATTGTTTTCCTCTTTATATTTTCATTAGTTGGACCATTCACAAGACTTTACTTTTTCATGCATAGTGTGTAATAAAATCCAATTGGCAAAAAAACAATATTCTTTAATAGTTTGTTACGAAAATGTGACACGGCAAAGGTAAAGTTATTAAGCTATGTTTACTAATCATTCTGTGATAACAGCTAAAACCTATGAGTTTCATAGGTAGTGCAGTATTTTTCTGTGCTGTTGTGTTCCTGTGAAACATTTTTTTTCTTTTGTGGTTTGTATCTGAACAAAATTGGTTCGTTTTGATTTCAAGACATTTTTAAACCCTAATGAACTAAGAGATTTTGTATGCCCCTCAGTTTTTTTAGGTCACAATTCTCATAAAAAATGAGAGATAAAGCAAAGAGGCAGTGGAACACATATATTACACTCTAGTTTAATTGTTTAAATGTCAGCAGTTATAGTGTGTTTTGAGATAAGAGCAATATTGGTGTGTGAGAGTCTCTTCTTTATTCCAGAGACGTAGAGTTAATAACTATAGATCATTTGGGTTTCTATTTTAATTTTAATTTAGAAAATCCCATTTAACATTGAGATTTAATTATGTGGTTTTTATCATGCAGTGACACAATTTTACATAGTACTGTGGAATAACTGGCCCTAGTCACATCCGTCCATTGCTGACCCTTGACAAGTTCATCTATAAAGGCAGTGAAACTGCGTACTGCTAATAAATATTTGTTACAAAACTGCAGTCGAATTTCTAAACATTCTGCCTGTATCTGATGATTTTTGAAGCCTGAATAACTTTCGAGAAAAAGTAGTGTATCTGAGACAGCTGCTTATTACTGTATATCCATTCAATCCATATGTCCATCAGTTCCCAGTGCTTCTGCCCCCCTAATTGACATCCACAGCACAAGGTGAGAGCACCTGCATCTCTGCTCACATTCCAGTGTGTGAACGCTATGGTCCAATGCCTCCTGTGTTTTAAAGGTGGTGGGAGGCACCCAGGGCCCCACGGTGAAGTTGTCAGACGGGTCAGTCAAAGCGGCTCACCTGTCGAAGCCCGGCACCACCACTCTGCGAATGACAGGAGGCGTGATAACTGCTGCCAGCTCTGCCGGAGCCCCGGCTGGCCTCGCCACTGTCCCCGCCGCACAGCAGGTCAGTCCCTCCACACCCGCTGGGCAGGAGAGCAACCGCTTCAGGGGCAGAGCCTGCTGTCGTCCTTTCTGATTGCCTGACCTTGTTATTCTGTGTCATCAGGCTGGACCAGGATTGTTAATTTTACAATCAGCAAAAAGACGTTCATCCTTTATCTTTTTTCTTTCCTGGTTAAAACAGTACTATTTTTAGATTTTTCCCCTTTGCCTCAACGGTATTTCACTTCAGTGTTAAAATGTCAAGGGGATTTATACCGGAGAACATCATAGATGTTGGAACAAACAGTTTTGCACTAGAAAATCCTGACAGCTGTGCACTCGCAACACGGCTTGGTAGCCCAGTGCTCTTTATGTATAAAGTTGTGGGGGAGAGCAAAGGGGAAATTTGTTTTGCTTCATGGAAAGAAAATATTGCGAGAGGTTTGGAATGCAGGCCCCATTTACTAGGGAAGAAATGTCAGAACAGATTGCACTGCGGCTAACACAGTAACAGATGCTGTGAACAGAAGCTACTAAACAGTACACAGTGTTGCATAACAAGTGCTAGACCGAGACAGAAAATCTGTTTTATTTTTCTTGCAAGGCAGTGACAGCTTAGAGAGATCTGCTAAAAATATTTTCCCCAAACAGTTAATATTAAGGAACACGTCCTTGGTGATCCATTTTTTTTAAATGTCTTTCTTGAACTAGAAGTAAATTCAATTTAAACCTTCTGTGGTTCTGTGCTTATTTATATAGAAATAAAAGACTGTTCAAAGGTTTTACTGAAAGTAAAATGCAGTAACTGAAGTTGATTGTGATATACGATATGGATGAAGTCTGGAGTGTTGTGTGAAAAACGCATGGAAATCAGCTCGTTAAAAGCAGACCCCATGGGCTCCATTGCTTTTTTCCCCCGAGTAACACAATTTTACTTCAGTCTCAGAATGTTTTTTAGAGATCTTTATAGTGAAATGCAAATCTGCTTAGTATCTCTGTATTTCTGTTTCTGCGGTTTTAACTTGAATAAAATGCTTTGCAGGTATTAATATTATTTCAGGGGAAAAAGCTGGCCACAACAAGACCATGACTAAATTGTCTTATAAGTCGTGCCATTGTAATCATGGCCCTGTGTGGTCTTTTAGTGTCCTGCTAGAACAGGAGAACTCTTGGACTGACTTGCAGGAACTGAAAGAATGTTAGCGCATAGATTTTGTTAGGGTATTTTACTGAGCTGTAAGGTTGACTTCAGCCTGCATCAGCCATGTTCCTCTCCACCTCGTCGTACTTCCATCAGTTGGCGTGAACAATGCAACACTTGTCTTCATGCCCACCGCGACATCTCCTGTGTTGCAAAACTACAACGCTCCACCACTCACTCTGAAGATATCAAAGATCTCCCCTGGCCCACCAAAGATGTCAGTTTCGTCTCCCAGCTCTCAACGTGTTACTTCTTAATGGTCAAAAAACATACAGGTCATTTTCCTGCAAGAAGCAAGCTATGGTCATTCTGCTGATACAGAATTGGATTTCCTGAAATTTCCCGTTATGTAGCCACTACAGTCTGAAAATGATAGCACAGATGGATCAGAGGAAAATGGCAGTTCTAAGCCAGTGAGGCGATACTCTGCCTTCCAGAATATGACTTGTCCCTCCCACAGTCCCACAGGCTTTAAGTATCTCTCGATTGTTTCTTCTCAGCCTCCTGAAGTGGGCAGCTCCAGTCTGGCGGCCCCAGGAGCAAAGCCTGTGGTCCAGCACCCTGTGCTTGTGGCAGCCAGCCAGGCGGCTGTCATCAGTGTGGCCAAGAGTGCCAGCAGCTCCGCAGCCACTGTGGCCAAGAGTGCCATCCCTGCCATGGTCACAGTGGCTAAAAGTGTCAACGTGCCAGTTGTCAGCATCGCCAAGGGTGCCAGTTCCGCTGTGGTCAGTGTCCCTAAGAGTGCTAGTCCCTCTCTCGTCACGGCAGCATCTCTGGTGACCAGCGGGACCACTGTGAGTGGGAAGACAGCAGCCACTCTTTCAGGTAGGTGGACAATAAAAAGCAACGTATAACATCCAAAAATGTTTAATCCATTCATAAATGGGTAAATTGTCTTTTTTTTCCTGGTGTGCACCATGAATGTTATTTTTGAATTAACAGTTTCATAGTGCGTGTATCCATTGGCTGGTATGGATGTGTCGTATGCAGATTTTTTTTTCATCCACACAGAGTTTTAAGAAATGACAGCTGTTCATTTTCCAAGTCAAGCTGGAACATTTTTACTCTGGCAAAAGTCCAATGCCAATTCAGTAGTGTTTTGTTTCTCCAGGCATGCTAAAGATCCACTCAGGCCAGTCCAACACACAACAGGCTGTTCTCACCATCCCTGCCAACCAGCTCAAGCAGCTGGGGGTGAGCACTGCCACAGGAGGAGTGCAGACCATACTGATGCCCGTCAGCAAAGGTGAAGGGGACAAGCAATGTTTTAAGCGTGCTGTGTTGTCGAGTGCAAATCTGTTTGCCAGGCAACGTGATTTTAAGTTGAAATCATATGCAGTTTCACTGGACTGCAGCAACACTGGGGACCCCATGGGGTCACATTGGCATTAACAAAGAAATGTTAACTCTCAAATTCCTCTGGATGTATTTGTAGCGTGTCCTGAGATTGGACAGCAGTGTTAAAACATCTTTGTAGACTCTAAAAAAAGCCCAGTTCGTTGGATTATACAAATACTTGCCACACAAATCTAAGTGTTCTGAGCGAAAACAGACTACTAAGCAGAAAGGAGCTTTTGTTCATTGATTACAGCTTAAGCCTCATTAGGCCATGTGGGCCTTGGTTAAAAGTTTAAATTATCAAGCAGCTCTGGTCTGTCGAACAGAATCATTCCCTTTTGACTGTGAAGTGTTTTAGGTGACCTGAATAATTCAGGTGCAGGGTTCTTTTTTAAGTCTGGAAATTAAAAGGAAAAACGGTGAATTTTGGGTTCCAAAGATGCAAGTTCCTGGTTGTGACCTAGTTCATTCATACGTTGCTATACCTGAAATGAGTAATTTACAGGTACTGTGTTTTAATTTAATTTTGTTTTGTTTTATATTGTAATAAATGTATGTTGCATTCTTCTTTGATGTTCTCCTTAAATTGATACCAATCATGTTTGATATAATATTTCAGTATTGTGAAGATCTGACTTAAATAAGAGATTTATTGGATGACTTTTGCCGTCACCAGTTAAGAATTGCTCTCAAATGTATTTTGTGTTCCTACGTAAAGAAAATAATCTTACTTTTGATTGAGTAACTTTTATTAATGTCATCCTAACATTGGTATTCTGTGTCTGTTGCATTTTCTTCAGTTGTGCAGTCCAGCTCTGTCACTAAAGTGGCAGGAGCTGGTGTTGGACCTACAGCAGCCAGTACACCCAGCACAGTTCCCAGTGGTTCTGCACAGCACCCCCCGTTGACATCCACAGCACAGGGTGAGAGCACCTGCGTCTCTGTTCACATTACAGTTTCATTTGTATGTTTGTTAGCTTTAACAAAAATTAGTATTTTTAGCTAGAATAAGGAGGCATGTAAACATCACTTTACGGTCCACCTACCCTCACAGGATCTTGGTTGAGCTCCCACATCCAGTCTTATGTTTAGAATAGGAGCCCCAGTGTCTAAGGAGGGTAGAAAAAATCTTTTGGTGTTCTCTTTTCCGATGGATGCACACCATAGAAGTTGTGCTAGGCATGTTGTATTGTGTACAAGAGCTGAAGAATGGACAAAGCATAATTGATAGAAAACAACTTTTTAAGCATGTGCCTGTTAAATCAGCTTTCAGAGAGGACAGTGTCAAAAAATAAGATCCTAACATGCATCCTGCTTGCATTGCTTATCATACAGGGATAGTGGATAATATTTACTGAGGAATTGCTCTTGTAAGCTTTGTGCCAATTTCATCTCGTATATATGAGGACTGCCAGCTTATCTGAAAGGTGGCAAAAATTATTGTCTATTTAATGTGCTTTCTTCCTTGTGAAATTTATAACCTTATGCAGTTTTATTGTGAGCAGGGCAATAATTTAAAGATAATGCTGAGTCTCTTGGGAAAGATTTTTTAAAATGGGTGTTAAGTACTATAAATGAAGCAGTACTACTTTTTGGAGTTGTCATTTTTCCTAGGGGTTTTAAATTAAAGTGAAGGTGTGCATTCTGAGCAGCCCATAAAGTCGCTTTGAAATATATTTTATGAAATACGTATTGATACTTTAGTAGTATTTTGTTGTACTTTGTTGTACTACTTCAAGTTGCTTCTGTGCATTTTTCTTGATGATTTGCCTATGTTATGTAATGTGAGTATTTTTTGGCGCATTAAATAAACCAATAAAAGACAAACATGGAAAGAAACAAGAATTACTGTTTTGCACTATAATGACTAATGTTCCAGACAGTTCTAACTGTTCTGTTGTAACTGTTGTTTTTCAAAGCAGACTTTGGTACTGGCGGATGAAATAATAGTACTGTATTAAGTGCAGGTTTGCCTGTAGCTTTCAAGGGGCATTTCATTGCTACTACCTTTCAAGTGAGGCTGTATTGTGATCTTTTCTTTAAAAGTGGTGCTTCTGAGACTGCAGAGCACAAGAACAGAAGCAGGATTACAGACAATAGGAGGTCATTAAACCCATCTAAACTGTTTGGTGTTTAGTAGCTAATTGTGACCTGTGCTTTTTCTTGGCTGCAGTGAAGACAGAGCCTGGTGTGGCAGGACCCAGTACCAGTAGTGCAGCAGTACCCTCAGTGACGGCTCCCATGACAGTGAAAGTCGAGCAAGGCACTGAGATACCTCACGAATACATCAAGTACGGACGTTTGTGGTGATTTCCCCTACCAGAGTGGTGTTTCCTCATGAAATAGCAATGCTGAGATCATTAATAACTAGCAAAAAGTTATAAGTAACAGGCATAGTCGGGTCTTGTTCTGTGTAGTCAAAACAGTAATTTTGTCAGTGATTTAGTGACTTTATCAGTAAAGCACTGACATCACTAACACAGTACTTCGTTTTTGGTTATCCTGTTATTTTTTTCAGCACGGATCATGTGGAGAACCTGCACCAGTTATTAACAGCTGTGGTGAAAAAAATTCCACTCATTGTACCGGAAAAAAGTAAGCACTTTCTGTGCAGCGTTTCAATTACTTTTTCTTAACCACTTGTTTTTTCTTTGTCCCCACAATTTGCTGTTTTCTGACGATGACTGTGCTTTATTCTATAAAATAAAAGAGCACATCACAAGCACTGAAGTCTAGAGACCGGTTTAAAAGCAATGCAGTGAAGAGATTTAGGTTTACTGCCTATAATCTTGCTGTGGACTAAGTGTGTGATGGATTGGCTATGGATGTGCAGGGACTTGAGTGACTGTTCTGTGAGTAATTGTAGCTGTTGTTCTTCAGCTGAAGATTCCAGTGCTTTCTGTGCAGTCTCCCTTGAGCAGTACTACAGCTGGAACATTGGGAAACGAAGGGCAGCAGAGGTACAGTTCGATTCCACAGATATTTCGTTAATCCCACTTGAACCCTTCTCTTCTTGTTTTCAAGGGTTTTCATTCAGCTCTTAATTATTTTTTCAGTACTTAAGAAGAGAGCGTCTACTTCACATCTTTACAAAGGCACTTTTATCTGCGTCTTTTCATTTCTGAAATCACATAGAAAAAAAGAAAAAAATCATACTGTGAATCGATAGAACAGTACACTAAAGTCCATCCCAGGACTTTTTATAAGGTTTCTGTGCTTGAAATTGAGGATTGAAATTTAAATGTATTTAAACTACAGTTTGTTTCATCTAGATCCTATCATATGTATACCACAAATGGAGCATCTGTAGATTTTTGTTTTACTTCCCGTTGTATTAAATATACCCAGACTTGTGCCATTTCCTGAGTGAGTGAGCCCAGAGTAGAGTTCTGTTTTTAAATTTGCTGTATTATACAGAGCTTGTTTGAAGTGTCATTACAGTGAACAAGACCTCTATTTCCAGTGTCTTCATTAATGAATTCAAGTGGAGATGGAGCTGCACTCTTGAAATCATGTGTTTTTGTTTGGGATTCTTTAGCTGCAGCGGGCAGTGGCTGTAAAGAAGGCTGTTCAAGAGGTGATTGAGAAATTGCCCAAGTTTTCCAGCATTGCACCTCCAAAAACCAAGCAGGTCATGCAGTGGTGCCGTCAGCGTGGCTACACACCACCTGACTTAGAGCCCAGGAGGACTGAAGAGGACTCGATAGAGGACATTCTGACTCAGATCGATAACGAGCCAGGTCAGTGTGTATGACCACATTGCTGATCAGGCACCCCCTCCAGTAGCTGTTTGCTTTATCTGCCTGTGTTTCCTTCCTCTCTGCAGAGTGCCCTTCCACCCTGTACGGGGCAGGGGAGCTGTGTCAGAGGCTGGAGGAGCTGCAGAGGCTCCTGAAGACAGAACCAGAGGAAGAGGAGGAGATACTGGACATTGTGAGCGTGAAGGAGCCCGTCAAGGTCGAGATCAAGATGGAAGAAGAGGAGCTCAATCAGGAGTCCAAATTCTATATAGGAGCTTCACCATCTGCCCAGTTCATCAGAGACTGTGCCCAACAGGTTTGGCACTATTTGCACTCACTGAACAATAGTTGGAATGGTGTTGAATAGTGTAGTGAGAAACACACCCTGTTGCCACCTCAGCAGTCTTGCAGAGTGAAGTAAGCAGGAGCACCACTGTCACAGGCAGGTAAATCTGTGACACACGCTTGCACATATACTACACAGAAGGTAGAGCAGTGTCATAGAAAGAGTTCATTCTACTGTAAGTTTAATGGTCCAACTCCAAAGACAAAGTGAGAAGCAGGATTAGCAGTATCAGCGCTGTATGTTACAATAGAGCTCTTGTAAAAGTCTCTTCATAAAATTTCGAGCTCGGGAAGCTGGTGGGTAGAGCAGTTATTCCTTTGCTTGTTTTCCAGATTGGAGTTCCATTCCAACAGGTTGAAGTGGAAAAGAATGTTTATGCACCAGCAGTAGAAGAAATGATTCTAAAGGTATGTGTGCAAAAACAGACACCTCTTACCATTAGGCCAGGTTTCTGCTAGCACTGAAATGAATCACTGTAATGGTATAGTAAAACTTCATTTGAAAACTGTTTTGTATTTGTCATTAGATGCTTTCTCATATTCCTCTTCTGTTGATACACTTCATTTCTTTTCTCTTGCTCTCTCATTTTATTTGTGGCAGTGAAATAATTGAAGTGATAAAGTTACAGATGATCCATCAATACATTTAGTGCTTTCAGTGCATGGTAAGAGTTTACTGCTTTTGTTTTCCTTAGGCAACTGAGCAGCTTGCAAGTGAAGTTTTGAGAGAAGCTCTGGCTGTGGCCTATAAAAAGTCTCCCCAAAACAGGTATTGTTGTTAAAACTCATGTCGCTGTAAATTGAAAAGGAAAAGGCGAAATACTTTTTTAAAACACTGTGGATATGAAGCACTAAGACCCTAAGACATCTGCATTTTTTCTGAAAATTAATATAATTGTGAGGATGCTTTTAGAATTGTTTGCCTTTCTAATACCACTGATAATGCAGAGTTTTCTTTTTACTTCCAAGTATACACGAAACAGTTAAAGAAAAACCTTTGTTCATCCCAACAGGGTACCCAGAGAGATAACTGCCATGAACATCCATCAAGCTGTCAGCACCATTCCAGCCTGTGACTTCCTCACTAATAAACACATGGGTGTCCTCATAAAGGAGGGCCATGCAGACTGAAACCCACTCTTGCTGCGAATGCGACTTTGAGTTGCAGTTTGACATGCTTGTTAATGAAAGGAGCTGAAACAAGAGATGCTTTAGAGTATGAATAGACTGAGTTTGAATAGTCCTGAAATTGAGCAGTACTGTAAAGACAGTTTGCAGCAGTACCAAGGTTAGAGATAAAAGCTAAGAGGCACTGAATGCCCAAGTGAATTCCTAAAAAGTCGCTGCAGACAATTATAGTTGTTCTACCTTGAATGACCTACTCAGGACGAGGACCTTCCAATATTCTGCTGGGTGATTTGCAACTGCAGAAATTCTTGTATTCACATACCTGGAAACATCTTTTAGGACAAAACCCAATAGCATTGATGGCCATTTGATGCTGTATGAAGAGTCATTCTGGGTTTGTTCGTTGTGCCCCTGTTGATGTGGTCTTTGCTGAGTATAACACCTGTGGTTTGATCCCTTCATAGATACCTTGCAAGTGGTTTTTCCTTTTGTCATTCTCCTCAAGTATTCAAGTAGGAGAGGGAAAGAAGGATGATGCATTAACAAGCGCTTGTTTCTTCTCCTGGTCGGATGCCTGAGAGTAATGAGAGTCGGAGATTTATGACAAAGTGTTAATATCAATACAGTGGGAATTGAAGAGAAAATCCAGTGTTGTGCAAAATGTATGAATAAATAGCATGAATTTAATTATTTCAACTAAGAAGAACAAGGATTCTTTTGCCATTGATGTCTGCAGCCCTAAGTATGAATCTTGAACTGTCACAACTGGGCGACAGAGTGTTTTCATATTGCTTTGAGGCTCATTAAGTTTAACAACTGCGATTTCCAAAGGTCTGCATCTTGTTATTTGTGGTAAATGGTAATGGCGTTGGATTTTACAGTAACATTTGTATTGTTTTAGAAGGCTGTGGTAAATAAGATGAATACATATTATAAAATTGTATTTTAACTGTTTATCAACAGAGGGAACAAAAGAAGATTGATCTTATATTTGTACTAATGCAAGCTTTTTCAAACAGTATCCAACCAGATATCTGTAGGTGAATGTTTCACTCTTAATGCCATACTGTGTTGCAGGTAATTCAGAAGATTACAGTCAGACTTTCATTGGACTTGTCTTGACTTCATCATATGAAGGGATCAACTCAAACTTTAAAAAGACGTTTCAATACTAACACTGGCCTTGCAGTGTGGAGCTATCTTATTCATACTGTGGCCTGTCGGGAGACCCTCTTGTCTGTTCTGTTGTTTACATGGGCAGTGTATTCTCGTCAGTAATAGGCTTATATTTGTACTTCACACCCCAGTCACAATAAACAGTCATATTGGCTGTTTTAGCAAATATTTAATTTCTAGTATTATGTGGAAATTTATTACCATTTTATTGTCATTCCAAATGTGCAAAGATTGATATTCTTATATTAAAACCACAAACTAAACTATGAGGAAATTGTGATGCTTCTTTTATTTTGCTAGACTTGATATTGTTAATCTGGGGCGGAAAGAGAAGTGTGTGTGATTCTAAAGCATTTTTGTTAAGGTCATGTGTTCTTCTGAGAGGCACCACTTCTCTCCCCTTTTCCGGTGGAAAAAATCCTTTTTTTGATGAAGAGCAGCTGATGTAATCATTAACCGATGGAGAGCAGATGTATCGGGGTTGATCCTCTCTTCCCTTCTTCCTGTCCTCCCTACAGCTTAAAATGATTGAAAATTCCCTTTTTTGTCCTGGATTTGCAGAGATTACAGCTGGGTTATTAATAAAGCAGCTTTGTGAAGAACAGTTATTGAGGTCAGTTGGCACTACCAATACAAAAATGGGTAGTTTGCTGTTTATTGTTTTTTTTTTACCAAAGAGGAGGGAGGGAGGCAGTATACCAGTCAAAATCAGCTGGGATTACTTCCAGTTATTCCCCTGCCAGTCCGTTTTCTTGTCACACCTGAAGGCAAGGAGCAGAGTGGTACTGAGAGGTAAAAAATGGTGACCTGGGATAGTAGTCAAGGCCTTGCCTCTGCCTGAGAGTCTAATGTATTTTGTAATGAAGCACCTTACTTACAGCACAAACATGCTTTTGTGCTAAAATAAGTATTTCATCCCTGGTGCTGTGATACAGAGTATACTGTACAACTAAGATGTTTTGCTCTTCTACCTGCTTAAAATCTGTTGAGATCTCCCTTGACTAGGTCACTAGTGAGATGAATCTAGCATTCTTAGCTAGGCTTGAAATGTGTACAGCAGACCCACCACACCTTTTTAAAGGAATGCACACGCTCAAATTGTAGCCCTAGGAATTTAACTTGCACTAGCAGTGTAAAATAGTGGTAGGGCTTTCTGGCTAGAGGTTGTTGTGTTCAAATCATGACTGAGGACACTGTTGCTGTATCCTTGAGCAAGATACCGTATTAAGATTGCTCATGAAACCCAGCTTTACAAATAGGTACAGGTATGTTTATATATTTAAAATTAAAAAATGCAGTGCCTGTGAATTGCTTTGAATGAAAGCTGTCAGCCGATATAAGATGATAATATTTTTGCTCACCCATGTTGCTATTTTTACAGCTCTTCCTTGGCGGTAAGGAAGCTTATTTTTCATCAGCAGCTTAGATGATCAAAAGAGGGGCATATTTTGAGAAATCTTAAGGCAGTGAGTTTGGGATATAGTTTGACTTGTACTGGCAGCAAACAAATTGCACAAAACCATCACACAATTGGGCGTCTGGACAGGAAGCTGAACTGCCTACAGATTTCAGAATACTGCGATTGAGAATTTGAATACATCTATGTCTGGTGTTGGTTAGGCACTGAAGTAGATGCTGTTCAGACAGGTGTCTTTCATCTGTGTGGGTCTGGGATCTTGCCAAGTGCAGTAGAGTAGTGAGGACTTGAATCAGAGCTGCTTCCGAAGCTGAGTGGGAGGATGGCTTCTGAAGATCGGGCTTTACCCTTACCTCTGCAGAAGGGCAAATATAACTTAAGAATTTTCTCTTTCTGAGCATAGAGCCTGCCACTTGTTTAAAAAGGATATAAAAACAAGTCTAATGAAGCCCTTTTTGTATTTTTTTTATTTGTACTTCAAATATGCTGCAGGCAACTTCACACCAGCTGGTCCTTTATCTTCCTGATGATCTCTTTGCAGGGTGGCTGCTTTAACTGCTACCTCTCTTCAGGAGCCACTGCCTTGTCTTTAGTCGTTTAACAGCTTTTGTTATTAAACCTTTACGTTTATGGGTCTGGTTTGAAGTTGCTTAAAATGTCTGTATGTAGGGGATACTGGAAAAAAGATTTCCTTCAAATTCTGTAAATTGTTTGAGATGCAAAAGATGAATCTATCAGATTAAAGGGCCCAGCACAATTAAGTCAAGACAAGACAGAATTTTCAATGGTAACCATTCTGTTGTGCGGAAATTTTTTGACACTAGTTTGACAAGCTTTTCTTTCTTTCTTACTTCAGAAAGTTATTCTCTTTATTAGACCCTGTTTTATACAGTGACATGACAGTTTCTTCTGTTGTTCTTCTCTGACAATGGTAAATTCTGAAATGGCCCAAGCATTTTTCAGAACATTTTTCCTTCAAGGCAATCAGGCATGGTGCTTGGAACCAATAGCACTTGTTCTACTTTAATGCCTCTTAGTATATTTAATTGTTTACATCAATTAATTAATCTCTTAGTATCATAGGTTTAACATTTAATTTTTCCTTGATAGTATTGGGGGGAAAAAAACAAACATTTTAGGAACCTAATATCTTTATTTGAACACAGTTTAAATATTTACATGATCATTGCTCATTTTAGTATTTTTCTTAGATAACAGGTTTAAAAAAAATAGAGACAAACACAACACTTATTTGATTTAAAATTTGGAAACAATGGTTTAGTTTAAAAAAAAACATATTTAGTATTTATTGTTTTGCCATTAATAAAAATCTAGCTGACTTAATACTTTATAATGAGGATATCAAACCGGTTGTAGCATACATTTTAAAACCGCAAGTTGGATGTTCTTTAAAATAAATTCATAGTATGTACGAAAAAAAGATTAATTTCATTCCAGTTCAACAAGCACACACACACACAAAACTGACAGGGCAGCCATTCTGTCAAGAAGTCTAACTGCAAAAGCTTATCGAGACATTTTTACATGCATATTTTATCCCCAAAACATTCCTTTAACCTTGTTAAATCATCAGGAAAAAAAACCTATTGTATACAGACTTAATTGTAATACAGAATACAGACATTGTCTTTAAAGTTATTACAAGACATGCCTTTAAAGGCATTGCCCATTTACGATGAATGTCCTCTTGCATAGATTTTGTGTTGTATGGAGTAAAACTACAGCATCCCAGGGCTCTCTTTACAATCAGAGGTTCACAGGCTATTCATATGTTGAAGATCCGTGATCCACTTTGAAAGACGGCAGAGGGATTTGGAGATAACTTGGTTTTCACCAACTGCTCCTTGAAAATAAAGCAGATGAACAAATGACTATTGCAGGACAACTTTCTTAAGATTCAGAAGGATGTGCTGTGATGAAAAAGAAGTACTGCAGTGTTTTTGTCATTGTGGGGAAAAGGGAAACTTGAATTCCTAAGTAGTTCATGCATGTCCCTCTCCTCGTGTATTGTTCTGTTGCTTTTTCCATCCAGATTGCTATTTACCATCTGTTTAGGGATCAGACAAACACCTAAGCACTGCCTAAAGTGTATTGTGAGAAATTTTGCAGGGAAGAAAGTTTGCTGGAGGAAGATTATCTTTAATAATGTTATACAGGTGCATCCCATTTCATTCAGCTTTGTCATATGCTTGAATCATATCAGAATGTTGAACTGTCAAAAACAATGGAGCTTATATTTTTCAATAAGATGCATTCAAAAGGTACAGGAGCTTTTGCATACACAGGTACAAGAGATCTCACTAGTATTTCTATACCAGTTGTACAGTATAACGTGAGATTACTCTTTGTACCCTGCATTGTAACAAGAATTCACCAATTAATTTTCAGAATGCATGCAGTATGATCTGAAGAAAAAGGCATTAAACAGCAATAAAATCAAGATTTTAGAAGCTAATAAGAAATTGGTTAAAATATAGTTTTAAATAGCTAGTGAGATACAGACGGCCAATTATTTATCAGTGTTCAAGCAGGATTAACAACAGAAAGATCATGCCTGTTGCAAGGCAAGCAAAGGACAAGCGCTCACTAAGACACACATTCAGAGTTGTTGCCAACAGTCAGAAACAGGAATATGGGGAGACATTTGGAGAAGACTGTCAAAACTAACTCCCATCAAACAGTGATTAACACCAGGTGGTCAGAATCTGCCTATGCCACATTGGGAGCAGATAGATGGTGGTAATATAAGGTAACAGAGCTTGCAATTAACTGGTGAATGAATTGGAACTTTTCAAAATGACTGTCTATTAATGGATGGTATTGTAAATTAGATGCAGGTTTCCCTTCTGGTTCAGATCCAGTTGTTCTGGTTGTGGAAGCTGGTTGTGAAGGCCTGCTTATATTCTATTCCACCAAATGGGATTACACTAATTTTATTTATTGATATACTTAACAGGATTTTAGCATGCTAGAAAACCATATACATACAGAATGTATGGTTTATATGTATTATTGTACCTTTAGGGCATGTTATCCCAGCTGTAAGGTGATGAATACAATAATCATGTTTTCCCTTGGGTTGCTAAAAGTGAACAGCAGCCATGAATGTTGTACTAAGTCCCTTGACACAGCAGGCTCTGATCCTGCATTAAACTGCAAACCTCAGCCTTTTTTTCACAATGCAATTGCGATAATAGGTTGCCTATTTCTAAACAATGCTTCTGGGACTACAGGCTTTATGTCAAACCTTTAGATAAATCCAAATACTGTCATATATTAAAAAGCTCATTCTTTTTTCATGATTTGCTATCTAAAAAGGGCTTTCACATTGTACAAAAACTATATGTACAACAGGCAGTACTTCTGCACTCATGCAAACTGAAACCCCATACTGTACGTATATACAGTATATGGTTTTTCATCTTGTTAAGTATATCAATGAGTAAAATTAGTATAATCCCATTTGATAGAATGAATTGCAAATTTGGTGTAGTTGTAAATGAAAGGCATTGTAAAATGTATGTGTGGTAGGATGATATGTCTGTAGTACGTGGGACTACAAAGCCTACTGTGTTGTGTAATTCAGTCCCAGTGATGGATCCATACCAATCCAGCAAATAGTAGATCTGATGTACTGGGATGGGACTTGTTACAGTTTAAATTCATTATGAAAAGGCAGAAAAAGTTCGTAAAAGAACATTCTGAATGAATCCACTGACTGTAGGTTAAGTTCTTGTGCAGAAGCATGGGACTGTTTTTTTTCCTCTTCTTTCTTTCCATTATTCTCTTTGAAAAACATTTAATTGTGGGTTTCAGATCATGCTGGTCTTGTTTTGTAAACAGCCTTGTCTTGGCTAATAATTATTTACAGTGTGTCTGATGCCCCAAGTCTATCTATTGGATTCCTACCACAACTACTGCTTTGCTAGGAGAGATTTCAAATTAAATAAAAAGAAAATAGTGTCTGGGCTGTCTTCACAACCTGAAGCACACAATCAGACCAGGATCTAGCCAGATAACTCACTGCACTTTTAAAATAACTCAGGAGTATAGATTGATTGATTGTGTCTTGATTGTGTCTTGATTGATTGGTTCTTGATTGTGGAGCTGTAGACCATCTGTATCACCTGGTGCTATGTGAAAATCACATTCAGAGCGTTCAGTAAAATCTACTTATCAGACTATTACTGGATTATTGTTCTGTACTACTAAACATGGATTGGTCATTTGTTTTGTTCAAGTGTCCTATCTTCTTGAAGCATTGTTGGCATTTTGATGGCTCTTCCATATGTTTTGTTTCAAAGACTGTACATTAAAAACAAAAGCATTATGTATGGTCAAGCACCTTCTGCATTTACAATGTTAGTTTCAAACCTGCCCCTAAATAATTTTCGTGGCTTAACGATGGCTAAAGTGATCGGAAAAGCTTCTCGGAAAAGAATGCTTCCAATGCTGAGTCTTGAAATGAATGTACCGTTTTGTTTTTTTTAAAACCTTTTCTTTGATTCATTGACTGTAAGAGGGAGGAGGAGGAAGTGTTTTAAATAATTTGTGTCTCGGAACCTTGATAAATCAATTAATTTTTCCAAAATGAATCCTACTGCTCTTAAAAATTCAAATACAGAAGAGGTTAGCAAAACCTTTTCATTTTTACATTAAACAGAAAAAGCAAAAGGATAACCTAGATTTGAAAAATATTCTTATTTTCTTCTGGTAAGTCAGAAGGGGGTGGGTATCTAGTTAGCAGGGATGAGACCACAACATGCATTTATAGACATATTAACAATGCAGAAAGGATTTTTTTTAAACAGACACTATCTACATCTTTGCCGAAAGTGCATCAACAAAGTTGTGTACCATTTTTAGATAAAAGATGCTAATGTTACATCTTGGGATTTCATGAATTATGAAAATTCAGCAGTGGATTCTGTATATAAATATTAAATTTCACACTCTGCAGTGGTGCATGTTTTCCAATTAACATAGACATTTAAGGGAATACAAAATTTTACATAATTTCTGCTTTATTTCTTATTACTACCCTCGTGGTCTGGGTTGCTTACAGGTTCTTAGGATGCTGTTACCAGCAGTACCATTGGTACAGTGTTCGCAGCAGTTGGGAACTAGTTGAACTGCTGTTTGTTGAGTTGAGTAGTTTGAATGCTTTTTAACTTGAACAGGAGACATATATAGGAAGAGTCAACAGAAAGAATATCTTTGCACTTGACAGTTTGCTGGAGCTTTTTGAGAATGAAAAATTAATTGACCAACTGCAAAAATCTATTCAAGATTGTTGATTTCTCAGTCTTAACTTGGTTACAAGCCTACCCACCCATCTGAAAAAATACTTGGGACAATAAGAGTTAACTTGCTGAAAGGACTACACTTTGGTAATTGCCTAGAGACAGCAAATAGTTATGTTTTAAAACAAAGGAGCACAGAAACGTACCTCCCCCTTGGTTCCTGTGCTTGCTTCTGTTTTGTCAGGTAAGGTGTTTCTCTGGGTGCTGGTGTCAACTTGCAGAGTCTCCATCTGTTTGAAGACATCCCCACCAAAGGCAGCCCTGTAGCTGGTTTCAGGAGGTATATCAGTACTAGAGCTCATGTAGGTCGGCTTTTTTCGGGATGACTTTGATGGTTTGGCACCCATCCAGGGGCGAAATTCCTGTCTACAAGAACGTTGGCAAAAATCAGTATACTGTACATACTGAACGTTGGAACGATAATGATATATTTTTGCTAGACAAAATTAAATACCAAATCTAAATTAAGTACAAGGGACTTGATGACCATAATTTAATCATACTGTATATACTCCTTCTTTATTTTTCCTTTGGTCCAGTGCCTTGAAAGATACAGTATAATTCTGTTACAATGAGGACATCCTAGGAAAATCATATGAAGAGAATAGATGATGAGAGCATTGAGAGCATAACTGAAATGGACAGAGCCTTGACTAACAGGAAAACTGAGAGATCAAAAAGCAGTGCATGAAGTAAAAAAGATGCATGATCTAGGACAAATAAACAAGAGGAGTAATGGCGTTCGGAAGGCTAGTGCTATTTTCAGTGGGTAGCACATATCAATGAAGCTGGGATAGGGGTGAGGTTTTAAACTGTGAAGGAGGAGTGGGTGTTCCATAGCAGAGGAGTTTTGGTTTATTCCTGAAAAGGAAATTAGAAAGATGCTGTTTCTGTACCAATATTCCACATGTCATGTGATTTGTGATGCTTCAGAAACTGCTTTCTTGTAGCCAGAGTACTTACTCCAATGAGAAGATAAACAATCTAAGAAATTACAGAAACAACCCAAACAGGGCTCTTCTTATTAATTAATCACATGTAGTGCGTATTGTGCTTCTCCAAAGCACTTTACTTATGGCAGGGGATTCATTTCCACCATTCCAAAGCAGCACACACCCTGGTGACATGGCTGCCGTTGTCCCACTACACAGCACATCAGGTGGCTAGGTGAAAAAGTACTTCACAGATTGAATTTAGGGGCAACTTTAGTTAGATCACCCCCGGTTCAGCCCCAGACTGCGAAACTGATCTTTCACTTCTATCTTTCAGAAGAATTAAACTTCTCTTAATTTCTGCGACACTTGCCTGAGGTATCTGCTATGTGTAGTGTAGTGGTATTAATATTAGCATTCATCTGACAGTGAGAGCTTTCATTGAGTGTTAAGACGTTCTGGGTAGTTCAATTTAGCTCTTGTTTATAGAGGATTTAATATTTGTCGGTGCACTTGAAAAGCATTAGCTCAAGATCAAGGAAATAAGTGACACTTATTTAAACCTGTTTCATATTCGAACACGCAAAAATAACTATTGGTCCCTATTTGTTATTGTTATTCCCTATTTTATTACTTCTTATATATACTTTATATACGATTTATTTGTATTTTCATTATATTAAACCTGGAGGATTTCAATTAAGCGGCAGTAAGTGGGGAAAAAAAATAATCGTAATAAAAGGGACCGTGAAATGTGTTTCATTATATTAAATGTTGTTGTTTTTTCCAGAATGAATCGCTCATATTCCAAAATGCACTGCAAGTGTACACTAATGCTACCTCCCACTATCCCTGTGATGCACAGAGATCTGTAAGATTAAAATCTGCATTTTGTGTGCCTGCAGGATCTGTCGTCATCACTCAAAGAGGCGTTTTGAATTTAATGCGTCGCTGAAATCTCCGCGGACCACCAATTATTTTTCACAATCTAAAAATTCGATCAAGTACCGCCAGCTCTGTAATAAATGACAAATACACTGTACAACTCATGGATGTATGTGCGTGTATGATCTTCCACACAAAGAAAAGCTTTTTGAATATTTTAGGGCTTTCAATTCCTGTACCAGAATGAATGAAATAAAGTAGAAATGTTTGACTTCTGTTTAGTCGAAACAGTTGGAATCGAGTACACATATGCATGAGTCGACGTTAAACCCAGGCCTGTTTTTGTTAGTCTCAACTTTTGCTGAGAACGCAGCTCAAACTTTACATCACAGAAATCGGAGAGCAGTATGTTTTCACAAAGCATTATAGCAGCGCACCTAAGTTACCTCAGTTGACAACATAAGGAAACCAATGGAAATGTAATGCATTTCTTAGAGTAATCAAAAACTTAGTCGTAAATACGACTGTAATTTCTGATTTCGCGACATAAATAATTCCATTGTGAATGGACGTAACTATAAAAAACAATTCTCTTACATAAAAAATATTTATTTTTGCAATGTTTTTTTTTTTCAAATATAGGATAAAAGTAGTCTCGGCAGCAATAAAAAAAAGCTACAATCATAAAACCTCATACCACAAGTATCCCCAAAGTATGAATAACAGATAAATGGACAGAATACTACAGTAGCCAAGTGAAACTGACCCAAATCGTTGACCTGATTGGGACTTTCATGTACATATGAAGGAGCAAGAAAAAGTGTAATTGACTCAGGTAGTAAAGATATTAAAGAAGCGTCTGTTACAAAGTTAACAGTACAAAAGACAGAATAACACTTTCTGTTTTACCTCCGCTGTACCACCCGGGTGGCAGACCAGGAATAATAAATGGTGCTGAAAGAACAGCTCCGAGTTAACATACCTGTACGAGCTGGTTTTCGACTTTTCTGGGCGCTCTTCTCCCCTCTTCTGTCTGTTTTTGTCTTCCCTCTCCCCCCTTTGCTGACCCGCGCTGGGGTAGTGGAGAGTGGGGCTATCCGACAAAGAGGCAGAGAACCCGTCTTTCTTGCCGCCATTGCTTATCCAAGGAAAATTCTCCTTTTTAGGAATTGGCCAGGGCTTAAAATCCTGCTTGTACTGGGTCACGCTCTGGAACGGCACACCGGGCGGGTGATAATCCTCTCGGGGTTTGAAGCTGGTCTCTTTCCGTCCCTTCCAAGATCTCCTGTTCCCAAACTCCTGGACTGTAGGCGATCCTCTGTTATCGGGTGTTGTGGGGTAGTCATCCCTCAGAGCCCGGTCTCCCGGGACGTGTTTAGTGACGGCTTTCACCTCTTGCTCTGTGATTTCCGAGTAGTTTTGAATAGTCAGGGGAACTGAGAGGTCGGATTTATCAAACTGGTTCCAGAATCGAGCCAGACAACAGACTCTACTGATGCATGGCCAAGCCATGTTCGGTTTAAGGATGTTGTTTCACTTAAAAAAAAAGACGAAGAAAATAAAAAAACGAGAAAAAAAAAACCCGTTACATCCAAAAGTGACTATCCAAGTCCATTCCTAGAACATTGCGTCGGTGTGCTATCTCCATGCCAGTATGCAGAAATGCCAAGCAGAGAGACGCTGCTTGCTTTCTGCTGGGACTTTGTCATTACACATTCATCTCACGTGGTCCAAAGGATTCTAGTGGATGCAGAATAAATCTATAAGCGATCAAGTGATCTGCGCGAAGAATGAAACATTACAATTGCAACGCAGTAGAAGCAGCATCATGATCTTTTTTTTTTTTTCCAGCGGTAGGTTACTGTGCATCTTTACCCTCGATCGGAGTATGCTTCCTTGGGTATCACAGCCAGTTCTTGGTTGCAATTCAGAGTGCGTGAGTGATTATTACAACCAGAAGGTTTTTAGCTACCATTTCTTCAACCGAGATTCTCAACTACGCCGCGCTGGTCCATTTATAAGGGAAATGTAAACAAACTGAATTTTTTATTTTATGGCTTGAGGGGATTTTTAGATGTAAGCTGCAGTATAAAATGTTTAGGGCCATCTCATCGGTTATATACTGTACCTGACATACACACTAAAAGGAGTGAAATTAATTGGAATGGAAAAAGCTGAAGAGGTGCGTCAGTTTGCTACTGGAAAAGTTAACTTGTCCATTTTCGAATGACATGTAGTTGAGTTCAAAGAATGTGCGTAGTTCTTAATGTTAACTGAGGATGTTTACTATTGTCTTTCTCAAAGTTATTTTTCCAAATACAAAACAGCATTTCGCAGCAAAAAGATACATTCTTGTAAAAATAAAAAAGAACAATGTCGTTATTTTTCATGTCGTTAAAACCACATGATTGTCGAATAGAGCAACAATAACTTTTTTTTTTTTACCGAGAGATGGAGCAATACAAAAGATGTCAGTTTGCGGAACTTTGACTGAACCGCCGAAGTGCACTGGCAACTTAATTAACACTAAAAAACACAATTCAAATTTGCACAATTACGGCATAATTACTTGTAAAACTCCAGTATGCTGGAATGGTTACCTACTTTTGTTTGAAATTCTGCTTCTGAACGCATTGCCAGTCCATTATGTTTATTTAAAGGACGTAGGCACAGTATGTCGTGATATTCCTAGTCTCACTTTCTGAACAGCGCAGTAACTACGTTGTTGGAATCTAGTGGGATTCCATTAAAGTCCAATGGAATTATGGTATAACAGTAGCAGTCTTGTAGCAATGAGATTAGAAATCGTAAAATCAAACCCGACACATACCGAATGTTCATCAGTTGCACGTGCAAAATGCGAGTTTTAATTGATGTTTGGGATGGATTCTAAAGACCTCAGTTCTTAACTACGACTACTTTCAATCGAATTGCTTGCGGATGTTTCCTCCTAATCAACGGCGTCATAAAGGCACCATGTTTTGGTTTATCTACAGACATCCAGGACGAATAGAGTCCGGCACTTGTCGCTTTTGGTAACAACGGGTGAATATTTTCGGTGCTCTCCGCAGCAATCGCTATTTTTAAAGAAATCTCAATAAAGACAATGAACCGGAGATGTGCCCTAGATTTTAAACTTGTTAACATGATAACTTGTCCAGCTTTGTAATGAGTACCTTCACTTTATAAAATATGTACCTTGCGTGCTGTTACTCATTAAGCGGGGAAAAAAACATAGGCTTTAATATTGAGTAGTCTGCTGATCAGACTACCGTAATAATTTTATAGTCATGAGTTTTATATAGTTTTTTTTATATGCGAAAGAAAAATAATAAGATGCCTTCCTCTGGCACAAGACTGTATAATAGAAACGATTTCAGATCCTTTACTAAGGAGTTTTTGAGCAGTCGGGGACAGGATCGTTTAAAGAGATCTGCCAGGCAAAGTGGAGAAGGTCATTTGCTGACACCTTTCACTATAGCTGAATGGACGTCCACGGTTTTGTGCTAAAGTCGGTCAAACACTCCTCAGCGCCTGGCTACGGGCGTACAACTTCAACAAAACTAGTCAGTGAGAAGTGTCTCGAGAAAAAGCCCTGGTCTCAAATTAAATGAGACTTATCCAAGATAACTACTAGATAACCTTAGACCGATTTTTTTTTCTCCTCCTCCATGTTCCCTAGGTAAACCGGATGTTGGAACTTTTTCCCATTGAAATTGATATCGGGTTGTTTGTCTCAGCCCTAGCTCCAGCGGTATACCGAAGGCTGAACAGGACTGCTCCTCCTGAAGAAGCAAGGTGACTGCTTATTTCTTTGTCTTTTATTTTGTTTTATCAAACATTTTGTAGGACTTGCCATGAGTTTCAAAGAACAACTCTGATAAGAAAGGCTTAAAACTTCACAATGTTTTCTCCCAAGACCCCTTGTTTTTATTAATGGTATCTCTCAACCCTAAGAGATCTTCGTCTTCAGATGTTTACAGCAGTAATGATTTATTCTAAGACCTGATATCACACTCGCAAGTGATGCTTGATCTCTCAGGTCCTACATATTTGGTTATGTTCAGTAAACATTTTTTGAGTATCAGATAAGAGCACAATTTGTTAGTCACCAGGCTTTAGTTCCTTTCCTATAAATAGGTGGTAGTGAGCACTACAAGTTTAAAAGGAGGCATTGATAAATGGGCAGATCAAAAATCGGATGTTTTAGTCTTTAGATAAATGTAATCCCCTCTCTCATATGCTCTCAACTGTGCATTAGACTCTGCTTCCTTATCACAGACATCTTGTTAGGCAAATGAACTGTTGCTTGATTATTGATCAATGTTGTTTGCTGAGAACTCAAAGACTTCACGGTTCATCTCTTCAACTCCTCAGCTCTTCAGGCCAGCAGTTCTGGGAAACTCCATTCACCAAGTTGAACTCCCTGACCCTTAAGAGAGTGTTGTGGCAGGACAAAGCTGCCTCATCTCTGGCTTTGGCAATACCAGGGGCAGGCTGCAGGCTGCAGGCTGCAGGCTGTTAATGTGTCTGTGAAGGACAGGGATTCATGCAACAGGACTTATGGGGGAGTGATCATTGAAAACATGTGTGCTGGAGACAGGCTGGGGAGCAAAGACTCCTGTTGGGTAAGAGATGTTTTTTTTGGTACCAAAGTTTGGTATGACCATACTCCCGAAGCTGGAAACAGGGCACTTGGAATTCTGTTCACATCCTTTCTTTCAGATGGGAGGGTTCCACTTGAAGCTTTTTACCTTGCTTGTCTCTTATATTTCATGGGGTTTGTAAATGGAGGCTTGGAAGGAGGTCAAACCTCTAATATCACCCACTTACTGTATACTAACTTGCAAACAGTTTGCCTCCTTTGTGCACATCTTTTCTTGTGCTCCGTTTGTCTCTCTTCAGACCCATATTTATCACTCTCAGCATTGCTAGATTTCACATTTCATTCTGCGCTGTTCCCGCATGTCTCCTGCTCTTCTCACTTGGTTCCTGCTCCATCTTTTCCTCACACTTGCTGGCCTTTCTGGAACCCGTGTTCATATCACTTCACGTTGGACATGTAGCTGTTTGACCACTACTTCTCCACACACTCTGGGAACTAATCTGTTCCTTGTGGTCACCACGTCTCTTTTTCTCTTCTGGCACCTGCTAAATGAATCCTTCTTCATCTGATCTCTTCTTCTTTCTTGCCCTTTTCATAGTCAAGCATCCAACCCACCACAGCTTCAACCCCTTGCCTATCTCTGCTGTTTCTCATTCTGTTCCCCAAAGCTCTTTTCTTGCGGTCCCAGTAGGAGCCTGTCCAGGCAGTGGAGCTCACTTTGTCCTGTGGATCTGAGTGCACAGTGTCAGTCTGTTTGATCTGAACTTGTTCACAGCCCTCACTGCCACCCATCCTCCACCCCAACAAAAAGGGGTTTTAAAAAAGCACTGGTTTTTATACCTAATTATATGAGCATTATATGATGAAATTATCTTTAAATAATCATGCTGCCATTGGCATTAAAAGGGAGCAAATGATTTATAGATGGTTTTGCTAGTTCAGGAACTATATTGAATTGTTGTTGCTGTTTCTGCAAATTTGAGTAAGTTCTTTTTATCATAATGTACAGATGTTACTGGCTTGTGAGAGACAAGCTACCCAGCCATGTAATTGAAGATATTCTGGTTTCTTTTAGGAACATGATGGGCATTTTCTGTGGCTCAAATCCTTATGAATAACAAAACTGGAGTAGACAATCCCAATTGCCTGATCTCTTGTAACCTTTCTCGTGTAGGTTTACACTACAGAATTGATTTTGCTCTGAATCTCCTATAAGTATAGAAATGGTGCCCTCTGTAGGTTAGAAGCAAAAGTTCTCCAACTTCTAGTTGTACGATACTGTATAATACCAAAGAATCCTGAAGAAATTTCTTATAAACTAGCCTAAAATATCCAAAAAGATTGAGAAAATGACAGAGCCTGTTCTTTTTTTCATATTATTTAGCATGTTATGCTAGACAATTCCAAAATAAGGAATTCATGACTCAGGGCCAGCTTAGACTCGGGGTAGTCTTATGGAGATGAGTCAGTGATTGGAGAAGTGTCTAAGAGGTAACAATGTTGTTCAGGGTTTTAATGGGGGAGGAATGATTCAGAGACTATTTTATATAATTTTATACTAGATAAAGACCGGAGTACTATGTATGAGCACATTGTACTGGTATTGTAGTGAGGCCTGATTTATAATATTGTGTACAACATTGGTCATCATATAACAAAACATATTATGGTTGCACAGGAATCAGTGCAGAGAACAGCAACCAGATAAGTATATTCCTAGAATCAAAGCAACATCCTGCTCCATTTTATTTGGCTGCAAGACCTACATCGTTTTTTGACAGAAAAGGTATTGAGGGGACAGAAGTCAGCTTGGTCTTCAAATTCAATAAGAACCCATTTAGTATGAACTCATGTAAAGGTGAACTAGAGTACAGCAGATAAATGCAAAGTTATGCCTCCAATACAATGGCACGTTTTGCTCTTCTGTGTGTTGACAATCTTTAGTTGAACATGTAAATATGCAACAAACTTTTATGAAATAGGCAAATAACATGGATGGCATTTAAAAAAGCTTTACTTTTGGCAAAAAAGTATGTACATAAAGAGAATTTCTGATTGTACTTTGGGGGGGGGGGGGTTTAAAGATTATGCTGTGTATTAAGTAATGGAAATTAACTTGCAAAATTCCTTCTCTTCAGGGGGATTCTGGGGTTCTCTTGTCTGCGGAAACAAGCTTTTAGGAGTGATCTCATGGGGAAGAGGCTGTGGGACAAGAGGGTTCCCTGGAGTCTATACCTTTATCAAGTACTTGGATTGGATATACAACTGCATCAAGTTAAATCACTGTGTGTGAGGATTTGGAATGGAACAACCAAGGTCTATCGCAGAATCTGAGAGTACACAGATGTGATTTACCTTCATATCAACCTATGATGATGGCATGCTAAAGGAAGAGCTGCTTACAGTATGACTGTGGTAATCCTCTAACAGATTGTTCCAGGTAATGTAAACACAGCTGGTGGTACAAAACGGCAGCCTTTTTTAAGCCATTGAGACCACTCAGCCTGAGCAACATCAAATTGATTTCAGATATGAAAAAACAAAAGTTCAATGAACCATATTAACTGGTTTTCTCTATATAATGTACAAGTTCTATCATTGTATTACATCTACAGTAAGTTTTAAAAAAATGCAATTGAAAGACTCATACTTAAGGTGCTTTGTATTCTCCTAGAATCAATTTGCATGTATGGTTCAGTTTTGCCATCTTTCATTGGGGTAGACAGTTGGTAGCAGTGGCTCAGTGCTCCACCTGTGACTGGAGAACTGTGCTATCTGAGAAATAAGAGGTGTGTCTCAAAAGTAGAAAGCATTTTTGTAAAGAAAGTAGGCTGCAGACCATGGTTAGACTAGATGAGAATTTTTTTGTTTAAAGTTTTCTTATGTTTGCATAATCTTACAGTATGTTTAAATGAACAAAACAATTTTTTCTTTACAAAATATAATTTATTTAAATCTAAGACTTCTGACCATCTTTGACATCCACTCTGTTCTAGTCATCTGAGAAAATGCTAGTGGCTCTCTGTTAATTCACAGAAATTGAAAAATATAAAACATGCCAAATATATAATCTTTAGGGCAATGCACAGTGGCACATCTGAAAAACGTTGGGGTAAATGATTTTTAATTTAACAGTTTATATTTATGAGGGGATTAGAGATTTCAGCCTTGGTACAAAGCAAATCACAATTCAAGTCTGCTTGTAGTTACATATTGGAGAACACTTCAGACATGCACTGAAGGTCAATATTTATCCACTATGTTTAGATAAGGAAAATACAAATCTGAAATGTCCTGCCTACAGGCCAGATGGTACAGATAAGGTAAGTGATTCCATTTCTCATAGTGTATTGAAGGTGTGCTTTTTGATCGTTCTTTTCTCAATTAGTTGGTATTCTTTAATTGATCGTTACATATTTGTTTATCAAGTCATATATAATGGAAATCGACCAATGATCCTGGCCTGTGAGGAACAGTTTTCTACCACTTTAGCACAGATGACAAATGTTTGGGGAATTATTGCCTTTAAAATGATTAACCTTTGTAACTAGGCCAGCAATTGAACTTAATTATAAAAAAAAATTACAGGTTAATACTGAAAGACCTTAAAATACAGTGTTGTTGATGGATTGCTAGCTAAATCAGATTTCATTATTTTTGTCAGTAAGGCTATGATTGCAACTTATCTCTTGCCTGAAAACCATAATCAGTATGGTAAATACAGCCGTGACAGGGGAACAGACTATTCTTTGAGCTTCAGTAACTGAAATATAAAACGATGGTAAAAGCCAATCTTTTATGCCTGGAATCAGTTAGTTACCCCATTCGTTTAGGGTCCAACATCTATTTGACTCCTACCATATGTCAGTTACTTGTCGCCACACAGTAACATGAAGGAGGGAAGGCAATCGGAAGGAGGGAAGTCTGCTTAGCCGAGCTGTTTTTCAGCAGTCCACAGACAGCATGAACTTCGACAACTGTGATAAATCTCATACTTTGTAGTTTTTTTTTAAAAAAAGCATACATGTCAAATAAATCTTCAGACGTTTTCCGTAGAACTAGGACTGTTTCCAATTCAAGGGTTCACAAAGGGTGAACGTCTATTATATTGAGATACCTTAAGAACGGGGGCAACATGCTTCTGATCCTTTGCAGTTAACATGGCATTATGCGTCAATCTGAGGTAAAGAGGAATTCGAGGTAAAGTACGTTTTGCGCACTGTTTGCGGAGCTTTTGGAAAAGTCAGTTTCCCGAATCGGACTGCATATGAAGTTTATACGGAAACAGCTCCGGGCACGATCCTGCGGATGTGGGTGTAAGACTTCCGGAGGGTCACGCTGCCGTGGTGAGACACTCCGCGAGGCAGAACGCACTCTTCAGTGAGCTTGTGCAGTTCTGGGTCCCAGCACAGCACCGTGGCGATAACCTCGTTCTTCTCATCCCGGCCCCCCGTGATGAAGAGCTTGTTGCTGCAGGCGGCGATGCCACAGCTCGCTCTCTCGTGGCTGAACCTTGTGACTAAGCTCCAGGAGTCCTCCAGGGGGCTGTAGCAGTACAGAGCCTTCATTGCACCACCTTGAAAAAAGTGGAGAAATAGGAGAACAGATTGATATTGTGCTTTGGTAGACTCGGCTTTTACACCTAGGATCTTATTCTTTTCCCAATACCTCATTGCATTTGCTTCACGAAGCTACACTTGCCAAGTGGCAAGAACCTGTACAATAACTTCTGTGTGTCTCATCCTTTTAATTGAAATTGCCATGGTATACTCTAGAACCTGGAGTGACCTGTTAATTGATGCCACCAACTTGAGGGAGGAAAAACAATATCTACACAGCAGGACATATTTCCTTTGTTTTAGTCCATTTACAATCATTATGAGTGCATTACTGAATGTTGATTAAAAAAACTTAAATTAATGAGTCTTTTATTTTTCTAGCTTAGGCCTGGGCTTGCCTAGCTTCTGTTATTAAGAAAGGTTAATAGTATTTATTCCTTGGATTTATAAAGTATTTTTCTTTAAAAAGGATCCCAAAGTACTTTACATATAGGGCAGTCATTATGCAGCAGCAAAATTACTTCACTGAATTAAGGGGGACATTTTGGTAGGCATGAATGAGCAGGCCCAAGATTGAATTCAGCTGGTGCTAGCCAAGATCCTACTGTTACAGAGTACATCTTATAGCACAGAGTTCTCAGTCACCATAAAAGGGCATTTTTAAAACTCTGGGCCTACCAAACTTCAATACTACTACTGCTACATGCACGCCTTGTTACAGTGACGGTTAAATCCATCCTTTTCCTTTGGTGTTTAAAAGAAGTGCCATATAAAACCAACCGACTACATAGATGTGGTCCTTGAAGGTCACAGCATTTGTGCACTTGGCCTCAGTAGGCATAGGTGACTTGAAGGTCCATTTATTTGTTGAAGGGTCAAAGCACTGTGTTTTGTCTGTGGCCAATTTGCCATTTGGACCCCCTCCAATCACGTACAGTTTCTTGTTGTAACTTGTAGCTGCAAAGGAGCTCACATTCAGTATCAGTGGGGCTGCCTGTGAAGAAATACAGAAATGTTCTGATCAATCCTAAAGCCTATGCACAGGGTGAGAACAGAATTTTGCTTTCTCTCCTGAGCTGTTCTATTGAACAAAGTATCTACAGCCCACCAGTAGAGGGAGTACTTTTTGCACTGGTGCTTCATTTTGAAGATCAGCTTTTTGAAAGCGGAAGTAATTCCCTGCTTCAGATGGACTAGTGCATTGAGAGAGTAGTTTTTAATTTATACAATATGAAACCACAAAGTTGGGATCTTTTTCTTTTGGTAATGATACTCAGAATGTATGACCTTTCTTCTATATAGTCCTGTAAAAGGCTTACCATGTCGCGGTTCAAACTTGTTTAAACCACCATGTTTTACCCAAACCTAGCCTGCTTTCTGTGTTTTTTTCCTTGTAGAAGTATATTAATTTTGGTAACTTTTTATCCTGCAGCAGTGATAGATACAGTAGCATGACTCTAGTATTAGTATACTTTTTTTGTGAAAAAGAAAAGTAATCAGTGAGAAATATGCATTTTACTAATCCTCCTTGTATTTTTTAGACTTCTTAAGGGGGTGGGAGTATTTGTGAGTGATAACTGCTATTTTCCTGAAATTCAGGGACTTTCACAGCAGATGGGTAAACGTCAGGGGAGAGTTGTCACCTTGCCAAACCGAGCTTGTGAAAGAAAAAAAGAGCATTACCTCAGTCCAGCAGTTATGAAAGGGGTCATATGTTTCCATGCTGTTCAGCCTCTGAATGCCATCGAAGCCACCTATCACATAGACTTTCCCTCCCAGGACAGCCATTTTGTGTCTCCAGCGGCCCGTATTAAGGTATTCAATTTGGATCCACTTGTTCAGGGAGGCGTTATACTTCCATGCTTCATGCTGGGTCTCCTTTCCACCTGCAAGAAGGCTAAATATGTTCATGACGGAACTAATGAACGAAAGAAGGAACTTACATTTCAATAAGCGGTTTCGTTTAAACTCTCCACTGTGCTGAATCATTGATTGTTGCTCAACCTACTGGAACCATGTTTCAGGGCATAAAAACCGTCAATGTGTATCTATCTGTAACCCTCTACACAGAGGATTCTCGCATTCCCACATTCAAGCCTGAGTGATACTGGCATGGCCGTTACTGATGCTGCAGGGCTCTGGGTTGGATTCCAGACCTGGCTGCTGGTGGGTGTGAAGCTGGGTTCATGCAAGTGTCTCCCAGTTATAAATGGTTCCTTTCTCCATGGCCTTTGGTGAACTGGCTATGCTCAAGAGAGGTGAGGGAGGACTGCTTGCAGGCGTAGGCTCTGGTTGTCTGCAAGTGGATGGCTGCTGCAGTGTACCTCTGAGATCCAATCTACAACAGGGCACACAACAGACCAGCCCAACCCAGTGGTCTAACGGTGCTGCCAGGCGATATCACTCCCTAGGAACTAGCAGAGTTCATGCGTCTCTTTGCTGCCCGTATCATTTTGTGCTTAAAACACCCACCTCTGAGAGAAGCGTGTTGTATTGTTTTCTCAGAGGAAGCAACTGGCAGGAAAGTTTCATTTCCTGAACTAAAGAAAACAAACAAATACAAAGACCCTAAACCACATCCTCATGCTATATGCGAAATCTCCCCTGAGTCTTATCTTCCATATACTATTGGTGTGGGATGCATATCAGGGTGGAATAAAGATTATAAATACTACATGTTGGTAACAAAAACATAATCTATAGATACAAAATCAGAAACTGAACTAGGAAATGATACTTATAAAAAAGATAGGAGT